GACTTCAAATAAAAGAAAACCATGATGCTTTTCTTTGGATTTACTAGATGAATGACGTGCTTTTAATTATTGCCACCATGAACCAAAAACATGTTGAAATTGCGTTATCAACACTGACTCTTTACTACATTGTTGATTATTAACACCTTTGTGACAAAAATGGAAATACAATAATTTACATATAAATTCATATTAAAACAGAATAGGGCCCTCTTGCAGAAGAGCATGTGATTCAACAAAACTACTCAAATATAGATCTGGGCTCATATTCATAAACCCTTACATTTAAGCCTAATTGTCAAATAAGTATGACCTATAGCCCATTAAATTAGTTGACAATTAGCTTAGTAAGGTTTTATGAATGATGGCCTTTTTCTTGATGTCAGACAACTCAAATAGCTTGCAAGAGGCTTACCTGACATACATAGCAGCAACAACATTTTGCATGTGGATTCAATCCATAGCAATACCCTAATGCATAGCAGTTGAGTTCTTCATTATCTTGGGATTTCGGGGAGAGTATGCATGAATTGAAATACATTAGTAAACATGATTTGATTATGCAATCCTCATTGGTCGAAAAAATCAAGCTGCATTTAAATTTATTGAGTTGTATTACAACCGACGTGTTTATGAAGGAGGATCAAGACCACTATTTTTAAACCCCAAATTAAAGATTACATAACATGGCCAACTAATGGTGTTAATTCTTGTAAAAAGATACACACATATGCAGAATGAAACAAATCGGAATATGCTGTATATGAGAAAAGGATTAAAACGAGGAACATTGTTTTTGGATACTTTGAGAGTCATATACTCCATGAACATTATTCAAATACTAGCCATTATATACTGTATATCAAATAATCCAAACCTCAATAAAAAGATTAATTGCATTTCCATATAAGTAAACCATTGAATACACATCACCCAATAAGCAATCACCTATGAATAATAAAACAAAGTGTAACGACATTTGCAGGATTGAAGTTTACATGGATAGTTTTTAAATGTAAAGTGCATGAAAGAGAAAACTTAAACAAAGAAACATAGCATAAGCAATTTTCTTTCCATTGCAATGAATTTCCTTAATAAACATACATGAACTCTATACAAATTTGTTATTGATTGCCACAGATATCTTCATTACAAAGTCTATGTTATTAAAAAGGTAGTACCACTAAATATAGCAAGAACCTTCCACAAAGCACAGCTATACAATAGCATGGTAGGAAAGCTGTATTTATCATTTTCAAATTTCAAATAGCGAATTGTGCAAGAGATAATCTCAGGGTAAAAGACAACATAATTTAAAGTAAAACAAAACAGAAAGCAAAGACATATTTGCTACAAATTCCCATAAGATGCTAATTGTTAGGTACTACATGAACAGCAGTTGAAATGCACTATAGTTTTACATGGAATGTACATGTAATGTAGGTGTGCATCACATGTACATTCATGTAATGCACATGTAATATACATGTGGTGTACATGTACATTATATATTCAACAGCATGGACATTTTGAGTATTACAATAACAAATATTCTGAACATTAATATTACTGGTACATGTGCAGGTAGGTTGGGGATTGTCATAACGGTTTAAAAAGTGCATAGGAAAATGTAGCACATTAATAAGAAGAATAGCACTCTCAGAAAGTCATTTTACTTAGCACAATCGACTACAAAATACTTACACCTCACAGTAAAAGAATGGACAAATTCTGATACCCCACCCCCTTTAATATAGCACTTACATGTACAGATATGTAGGGTGTGGCTCGAAAAGATTAGAAAAAAAATGTTTATGGAATATCTACCGGTACTAAGACTCCATATTGTCTACATTTTCATACTTAATTCATATTACAAGTAAATATCTATTCTATAAAACTATTTCAGCAACATTTTGTTGTACTCTATTTCTGAAGAAAAAAAAAAACAGCCTTTCTTAATTTCTGCAAAGTAGTAGGTTATACATGTATATGTGTTTGCAGGTCATTTGAACACACAGTTCCCATTAAATCCAACATGCATGTCCACAAGAATACATGAATATCTAGCGCATACATATCTGAAGTACTGTACATGTATAACATTATTAAATAAAGATAATTTACAATTTCAAGGTATTAGAAAAAAGGAAGAGCCCATATTTACAAACAATTTTCTTTTGGTTAAACAACCTGCAACAAGTTTAAAGCACTACAAACAGACTTATGATATTTTAAACTTGTTCTTCTGAGAGCATTTTGTTAAAGTATTTGGGGGGTAAAAAATGCCAGAATTCTACCTTTACCATATCTGTTCATATTTAATCTGACAACAATTGGACTCGGTGTTTTTTTTCAATGGCAAACTTCATAGACAGGTATTTCAGTATTGCTCAGAAAACATTATAAAACACTACACTACAGTGCTTTCAAAATCTTTTAGAAATACAATGATACATTGTGCTATTAAGCATCACTTATACACATTATCAAAAAGGGCAACACATTTTACCGCTGTGTTGACACGGTTAGGTGATTAAATATGATGGTTTTCTTTAGAAGATCACATTACAGTAGATTTTTTAGTCTGTATAAAAAAGTACTACATCCAGCTAAAAAATTATAAAAATACAATTTCAAAACAAAGCTTTTTCGATAATGTTACTACTGCTATTCTTACTGTAACCAATAATACCTAAGGAATTCCATTGTTCTCATGTGCAATATGTTTATACATTATACTGTACTCCAATTGTAATACTTTTTAATACTTTTTAATACTCAGTATACCTTCTGAATGGAATTTGTATTGCATTTTATTACAATTTTTCCAATGTGACAGTTAATTGAATTCACGTATCTGTATACATTTTATTGGTTTATATGTAAACATTTATTCATTTTTGCTAGCAATATTTCATATCTTGTATTTTTTCAAAAAAATCTTTTTCTGTTGTTTAGTTTTCTTGTTACTACTTTAATGTTTTGATTTAAAAATGTATTCATTGCTATATATTTGTCCTCATTTGCTATGTTATCTTTATGTTTTCGAATGCTTTTTATATTGATGTAAACTTGCATTTTTAGTCTTCGGACTTGTTGACAAGTAATGAATAAAACCTTATTTGAACTTGAACTTGAAGTTGAACATGGACCAAAGGTCCTATCCATATACACTGAGCTCTGTGTTATAAGGTACGGAAATATGAACTGTATTACACCTACATTGTACGACTATATAAAAAAGAAAATATACATGTAGAAAAATATGCAACTTACTACGTCATATCTAATGCTATGGTCACAAAGGTTCGTACGAACGATAATTTTGTACGAATCTCTGTTTTTCTATTGTCTTCCCGAATTTTCATTGTCTGAAAATCGTTCGTACGGCGTTCGTAGCAGTTCGTAATGGCATTTGTGACCAAGGCTTAATCAAGGCTTAAGAATGAAATACAAATTACTTCCTTTAATTCAACCCCAATTGTGAATTTGTGATGCAGCTTTACGTAAAATAACCCTATACATGCAAAGGGGGCCGAATCCATCCATAAATATAGATGTAAATATACATGTAAATCACCAAAAAATAAAATATATTTTAAAGGCAATTCCAACTGATAGAAAACCAACAGCCCAGAAGATGGTTACAAAGAAATATACAAACATCCATGATATCTGCATATAGAATTCAAATAAATTTCAGGCATTCAAGAGGGGAAAAAATAAAATCATATTATCTCTTCTCAGGCTTCAGTCGACAAATGGAACAAACAATGTACTCCCACAGTCAACTTTTAAAACACATAAGACGCACATGTTACATATGCAAGTTTAGAGTTCAATTTCTTACCAAATGAAGATTTGAAAAAATACAACTAAATAATAAATAAGCACATGAACAAAATCTTGATATATTCAGTATTTTTTTATCTTAACCCTTACTGTACTGGGCTATTTTGAGCACCCACTGACTGGGGGGGGGGGGGGGGGGGGGCCTGGGAGGCCCCCCCCTATGATCTCGGCCGTCGATTGACCGATGAACACGAAAATTTGCATGTTTGTAGATATTTACGTAAGGAACAAGATGGTATAATTAGTTTTTTCCGAATATGCAAATTTTTGTTGTTAACCTAATTAATTATGCAAAATGCACTAATTTTATGCATTTTACCGAAAATGTGTCAAACTCCACTTTTTGAATGTTGAAACTCATTATTCATATGAAACTTCTTTTCTAACACAAAAAAGTTATTTTAATGTAATTAATAATGATAATTTATGCAAATTTTGATGCGATTTTCATTTTTTTTTTTTTTTTTTTGATGACATGCGCATACTAATTGTTATGTAACGCCTTACAGGTATATCCGATTTCGACGAAAATGGTATCAAAATGTGCGTAAGACTTGAGGGGAAAAAGTCATGAAATGACAATTCAAAATTCCAAGCGGTTGCGGCGCAATCTCCGAAAATGTCGAGGGGGGGGGGCCTCCCAGGCCCCCCCCCCCCCCAGTACAGTAAGGGTTAAAGGGATGCAGTAACTTTGTCTTAGATCCTTTAAAAAAATCCTTGATTTAGCTCATGCTGCATGATAATTATAAACCTTGACTTGACTTTTACAAGCCGATCGCCTGTCTAATTATCAAGATATCTATGATTGAAAATCAAAATCAAATTTTGCATTTGCCAAACGGTTTTCATAACACTACAGTCTATTTGGGAAACGAGTATGGTAAAATCGGTCACTCAAAGCTTTTTACTTTTTTGAGGCACTTCTTGCTCATTTTGAAGCGCAATTTTTTAGGGCTTCAATATTACACCATATCACAGACACTGATATAAACACGTAGGGCCGTGCAGCTCAGATTTAACATTGTTAAACGATCCCTTTAATGGACGTGGGACAATTCTGAATCATGTATATATATACCTATAATACTTAGGATTTCTAATGCCATATTTCATCTAATAACTTTCATTATCATTCTTTCTCTTCAAGTAAGTTTAAAACATTTCCATAAAATATTGCAGATTAAAACGATCTGATATATACAAATAATTCTCCCTTAGTACGTGTCATATAGTCTCTTTTCAAGGTACTCTAGGCTGTTAATTGGTGGGTACTTGTTGCTTCCGTCCACGCACTCGATTACCTCGTCATCGTCGGGATGACCGAAGAAAACGATGGACTGCCTGGGTTCAGAGGTCTTGGGCATGACGACCCGATGAACCTGGTAACGATCAAGACAGAAAATGAAAATAAGGAAACAATATTCAAGATGTATAGTAATATTATTTGGTTCTTGTACAGCGCATATCATATTATAACATCTCTATGCGCTTCCAAAGAGCTTTGGAAATTATTACCCTAGCTTTAGCTCTGACAGCCGCAATAAGCGCTCAGTGCATTTTAAGGAATAATCATACCAACTACCCATTTACCTCACCTGGGTCCACTCCAGTGTGGCAAATGTAGATTAATATCTTACGGCGGGACTTGAAACCGCGGACCTTGTGATCCACAGTCCAGTGACATATCCACGACACTTCTACAAAGGGTTGTCAACAGGCCCATAGCAAAATAAGCTTTTTTAGAATTGAATTGGGGGGGGGGGCATTCTCATTATCCTAAGTACTAACTGGATGCATGCAAGGGTGGAAATCTCTAGATTGTGAGGGAGATTCGACACCCCTTCACTGAGAGAGCACCAAAGTGACCCAGCCTGGAGTGGAGGGGGGGGGGGGAGGGGGGGGGGGGGAGGGGGGGGGGGGGGGGGGGGGGGGGGGGGGGGGGGTGGGGTGGGGGTGGGGCTCAATCAATGTGCTCCAATATGACCTCGGCTCTGCTGGGAGACTGACATACATGTAAGTGCCCATAGCATTTAAGGAATTCTTTCTACCGTTACCTATATAACACATAATCACTTTGATTGGCCAAGGTTATCAAAAGCCAATGCTTGAAAACATTTGAAGTAATGATTATTAACACTTACAAAACGCTTAGATACAGCCCCGACATAGCTCTTTAAAAGCTCCCCGGTCGCTGCTGAGATAATGACGTCACATGTTGAACATGATGTGCACAAGCAGACGATGTCCCATGACATATCACACAATTTCAGTGCTTGTTTTGTCATCTTTTCTTCATTTATTTCTCTTACTTCAATACCCTCAGGCGAAATGTTTAATCTATTGCCTCACTCTAAACCCCGTGCATGGTATTATTTTGAATAAAAATGCAAGGATAAAAAAAAAAGGAATCCGTCGCTTGTAAACAAAATAAGACGGCATTGTATTTTAAGCTGCATACACCGCGGCATTTTTGGCATTTCAAGAGGGAACAAATAACGTCCATGCTATCATTCCAGAGGTTTTTTAATTTGAAAGTGTGGTTTCTTTGATTGTTTATTAACCCCTATCCTGTTTATTTACAAACAAAAGAATTTAGTTATCAGAATGGGGGTCATATCCCTTTTTGAATGTTGTAAAATTCCATCACAGAGGTTTTTTAATTTGAAAGTGTGGTTTCTTTGATAGTTTATTAACCCCTATCCTGTTTATTTACAAACAAAAGAATTTAGTTATCAGAATGGGGGTCATATCCCTTTTTGAATGTTGTAAAATTCCATCACATTTAAATACACTAAACTCATTATCATTTGAGAAATAAGGCATTGCAATTATATTCATTCTTTATGGGATGTCGTCTGCTTGGGCAGGGTTGGTTCATATTGTGACGGCATTAAAACATCGTTATTTTCCCGGCAAATCTCTCGCATATCCCAGATGCTACGGAGGTTGTTTTATTCGTATTTTTATATATCACCAGATATGTAGTTGACCTAAAACTTGCATGATGGCCATCTGTTAGCTTACCAGTATCTACTAATACGCTATTGCCATGTTTGTGATTTTCTACGAAGCCGCACTTTAAGGCGTTTAAAGAGCTATGCTTTTCAGGGAACATTTTTATCTGATGTTCTTCCATGCTTGCATAATACAATAATATTAACACTGACAAATTATTTGTCACCTCTTCCCAGAACTCAACCTTCTCTTTAAGCTATATAAGATGGTACTGCTGTAATTATATACATATGTACCTACCAACCTTCAGCAGCCAAAAATTAGGAATACAGTGGATTGGGATTTAACATAATTGTATATAAATATTTTCAGAAAATAAGAGGAAGATTGGGTCTAAAGCACTAGTTTGAAAGCAGAGAAAGAGGAATCATTTTTCCAAAATAGTTTCTTATTATCGTTAAAGGAGCTACACAAAGAAAAATTCACTACAACTGATAATTAAAACAAATTACATACGGATGGAAAGATTTTCTCTTGAAAAACACGAATCATTTGCTGATAAATCATATAGATATCATGGAAAGGCGTAAAATGCAATTTTTCAAGACCCTTCTTAGACCCCCGAACGCCCCTGAGTGTAAGCCAAACACACGAGCATAGCGAGCTCTGAATAGTGACGTCACACACTGGACAAACAGCTCAGTACCGGCCGCCTACCGAAGTCGCGCGTGTATTAGTCTGCAGCTAGCCAGCCATGTCCCGTGTGTGACGTCACAAATATTGACGCTCTACAAAGGACCGCTGAAGGCAGAAAATCTGGATCTTGAAACTAACATTTTTGAGAGTTGATTACTGCGGGCCCAAAACATATTTTGAAGAGGAGAGTTGTTGTATTTGATCAGTAAGGCTTCCCCTTCGCAATGATATGAGTTTTGCATCAATTCAAAACACTTTTGATTCTTCGTGTGTCTACTTTAATTTAACATAAACCCATCTGTACTAGTTTCACCAGGGGGATTAGACCTCCCTGCAAGGTCACTGACAGGTGGTTATCTCATCAAATCAGCTGTCAATTAAAATAAGGAAGAAAGAATTAAATGGGGGACCAACAGGCACTGATTAGGCATTGTTTGCTATACAGAGGGCGCAAGTAGCTATAAGTAGTGCAACAGGGCTTTAAATAAAAAAAATTCTACTCACAGAAGCGATGAGTTGGTCTGCTGTCCACATTTGCATGAGATCACCTAGATTGACAATGACTGCATCTTCCACCGGCTTGGCCTGTATCCAATCTCCCTCTACGTCTTGAACCTGAAATAAAGTAAAAGGATATAATGGCCGTATAATAATTATAATAGTTAGTTCTTATATCTTTTTTCAGGACAGAAGGCCCTCTCAAAGCGCTTTATTATTACCCCGGTCATCGGATTCAGGCTTACCCACAACACAACGTATGCACATTTTCCACCCCCTTGAGAGCATTCCAGCCAGGCGTCATTTTTACAAGCGCACACTTGCTAATCTAACCACATTAGCTTTCGCATCCTACCGGGTACCCATTTAACACCTGAGTGGAGAGTGACAAATGTAAATCAATGTATATCTACTGGCAAATCCTGGGATATCTGTTCACTAGTCCAAAAATCATTAAATTGTTGATAAGTCTAGCAAAATGAGTGCTATTATGGCAAATTTAGTATCAAATGAAAGAAACAAAGTTTGTATCAGAAAAAAGAAATTCTCTACTTTTAGTTGTATTTGATAGGAGTGAATAATATTGAAGCATGTTTTCCTTACAATATTAAACTAGATGGAATTTTGACTGCGCGCAGTCGAAAATGATGCCTCCGCCATAGAGCAATTTAAACAAGTTTGAAGTTTAAATCTCCAGTGGTTCTTGAGATATTATGATATGGGCAATTCCACGGTAACAGAAGGACACTCAGACAAGATTTTTGAACTTCAGGTTCATACTAAAAGAACTGTTTTATTAGTATGTATTAAACTATGGGGAACAAAATGTGTTTCAGTCAAGTGAAAAGCTTCATCAACTTCACAAAGTTTGGATAAACACTAATTAACTGGAAAAACCATGTCCATTTTTATGTCCTTCCGTTACCGAGATAATTAATATGCACATTCTTAAAGTACTTAACTATAATGACAATTTTTTGGGGGAGAATTAAAGGCACTTATATGGGTATTATATCTTTACTGTTTCACATCTTATACTAATAAAACAGTTCTTTTAGTATGAACCTGAAGTTCAAAAATCTTGTCTGAGTGTCCTTCCGTTACCGTGGAATTGCCCATATGGTGATACATACTATCATTAAGTTTGAAGTGAAAATTCTCCAGTGGTTCTTGAGATATCGCGATAACGATCTCATTGTATGGAATTTCATAAGTTGACCTCTGTGACCCTTGACCTTTGACCTACGTGCTCCAAAATCTAATCAGATTGTCTTCCTATGGTGATACACACTATCATTAAGTTTGAAGTTTAAATCTCCAGTGGTTCTTGAGATATTATGATAACAATCTCAATGTATGGAATTTCATAAGTTGACCTCTATGACCCTTGACCTTTGACCTACGTGCTCCAAAATGTAATCAGATTGTTTTCCTATAGTGATACACACTATCACTAAGTTTGAAGTTTAAATCTCCAGTGGTTCTTGAGATATCATGATAACAATCTCAATGTATGGAATTTCATAAGTTGACCTCTGTGACCCTTGACCTTTGACATACGTGCTCCAAAATCTAATCAGATCGTCTTCCTATGGTGATACATACTATCCTTAAGTTTGAAGTTTAAATCTCAAATGGTTCATGAGATATCGCGCTAACAAACTCAATACAAGGAATTTCATAAGTTGACCTCTGTGACCTGTGACCTTTGACCTACGTACTCCAAAATCTAATCAGATCGTCTTCCTATGGTGATAAATTCTATTCCCGAGTCTTAAGTTTAAATCTTAAATGGTTCTTGAGATATTGTGATAACGGTCAAACGGGACGGACGTACGGACGTACGGACGGACGTACAGACGTACGGACGTACGGACGTACGGACGGACAACCCGAAAACATGATGCCTCCGGCACCACCTCCGGTGGCGGAGGCATAAAAAGTAACCGGTGTAGGGGGGGGGGGGGTAGAAAGCAGCAGAAGCAACATCTTTGGTAAAGAAAAGAAAATCCATGGATCTCAATACTTTAACGGCACCATCTGATAAAAGTGACACAGATTCAACCGGGGTCCGTCTGAGCGAGTGTATAGGCGAAAACAGAGTGTTGACAGTACCACAGACATTTTCGCTAGATCCACTCTTATCTCACATCACAAGTTTATAGACTCACCTCAAGGCCGCCCTGTTTGTCTTGGAAGAGTAACGTGATGCCCCCGTAGTCCGTATGCTCTCCGCATCGGATCTGGTTGTCCTTTACCTTCTCAAACACCGGCGGAGGATAGTACAACGACCTCAAGATGGTGCAGTTCTCCTTCGTCCCAAGACCCTTGTGCAAGTTCTTGAAGTAGTGTGGGTCCTGCCACAAGAGGTTAAAGAAGAAGAAAAGAATAGGGAGTGAGTTTCAAAACAAGGACAAATCAAGAGTTTTCATTTTATCAGAAAAATAAGAACTTATTGGTGTATTGAGAAATTTGAGGAGCTGAGAAGAAAAGGGGATAGTACAACGACCTCAAGATGGTGCAGTTCTCCTTCGTCCCAAGACCCTTGTGCAAGTTCTTGAAGTAGTGCGGGTCCTGAAACAAGAGGTTTACAGAAGAGTGAGAATTGGGAGTAGATTTCAAAATAAAGGCAAAGCTAGATCATTTTATTAGTGTTATTAAGAAATTTGAGAAGTTGAGAATGATGAGGAGTACAGTGGGATGCAACGACCTCGAGATGGTGCAGTTCTCCTTCGTCCCAAAACCCTTGTGCAAGTTCTTGAAGTAGTGTGGTTCCTGCCATAAAAGGTTTACAGAAGAGGGAGAATTGGGAATGAGTTTCAAAACAAGGACAAATCAAGAGTTTTCATTTTATCAGAAAAATAAGAACTTATTGGTGTATTGAGAAATTTGAGGAGCTGAGAAGAAAAGGGGATAGTACAATGACCTCAAGATGGTGCAGTTCGCCTTTGTTCCAAGACCCTTGTGCAAGTTCTTGAAGTAGTGCGGGTCCTGAAACAAGAGGTTTACAGAAGAGTGAGAATTGGGAGTAGATTTCAAAATAAAGGCAAAGCAAGATCATTTTATTAGTGTTATTAAGAAATTGAGAAGTTGAGAATGATGTGGAGTACAGTGGGATGCAACGACCTCGAGATGGTGCAGTTCGCCTTCGTCCCAAGACTATTGTCAAGTTTTTTAAGCAGTGTGGGTCCTGCCACGTGAGATTTACAGGAGAGAAGGAAAGAAATGAGACTGAGTTTCAAACAAAGACGAAGCAATAAATATCATTTCATTGGTGCTATCAAAAACCTATTGGTTTATTGAGAAATTAGAGGAGTAGAAGGGGAAAGTGCAGTTCGCCTTCGTCCCAAGGCCCTTGCAAGTCCAAGTTGTTTAAGTAGTGCGGGTCCTGAAACAAGAGGTTTACAGAAGAGGGAGAATTGGGATTGAGTTTCAACACAAAGGTCAAGCAAGAAATTTCATTTCATTAGTGTTATCAAAAACTTATCGAGTTATTATTGTTTATTGAGAAATTCGAGGAGTTATATAATAGGATTTTATTGATATCAAAACATCAAAAACCAAGAGCAAACAGTCTAAAGACTGACAACTCTCTTGAGTACAAAAATAAAATTTAAATCAAATATACATAATAAAATAGCAGTAATGAATAAATACATAGGTTACATAAGTTAAAATATCAAATAACTAAACTATTATCAGTAAATATTGCAAAAAGGACATATAAACGAATAAGTATACATCATTACAATTACATCAAAAAAGGGCTCTCGAGCTGTACAATAACTAAATCAGGTACAGACCGAGAGTCCAATAAAAAGAAAATTAAAATGCATAAGACTGGGTTTAAAAAGATCAATAGTACATAATACTGAATTTACTTTGTTTATATTATATTTGACTGTATTATATTATGTCTGTTTATAATTTGTTTTGTTTGTTTTGAAACGGAAATAGTAAAAAGAGGGGAATATGTCAGCTAAAGAATAATTTTTTTAATTTAAAGTATTGAGAAAGTACAAGTAACATACAATAAAGGAATTCCCAAGAGAGTATACAGAAAGAAAAGAGTAAGATAGAGGGAGGGAGGGAAGAAAAGAAAGGGAGAAAGAGAGCGAGAGAGAAGGAAGGGGATAGGAGGAAAGTCAGGGAAATATCAATACCAACTGTAGACTCGGTAAAAAAAAACAGCCCAAGTATCCAAACATTGATTATAGACATTGTAATTAATCTGAAATACATGAAACATACAATAAAGTAATTCCCAAGAGAGCAAAGAGAAAGAAAAGAGTTAGATAGAGGGAGAGGGGGAAGAAAAGAAAAGGAGAAAGAGAGAGAGAGAGAGAGAGAGAGAGAGAGAGAGAGAAGGAAGGGGACAGGAAGAAAGTTAGGGAAATATCAATACCAACTGTACACTCTGTAAAAACAGCCCAAGTATCCAAACATTATAGACATTGTAATTGATCTGAATTACATGTAACATACAATAAAGTAATTCCCAAAAGAGCAAAGAGAAAGAAAAGAGTAAGATAGAGGGAGAGAGGGAAGAAAAGAAAAGGAGAAAGAGAGAGAGAGAGAGAGAGAGAGAGAGAGAGAGAGAGAAGGAAGGGGATAGGAAGGAAGTTAGGGAAATATCAATCAGATCTGTAGACTCTGTAAAATCAGAACAAGTATCTAAACATTGTAGACATTATTGCAGGAATTATGAAATACATGTACATAAAGGAAAAAGAAACATGTGTAATCTACCAAAGAAGAATGGAAAAAGAAGGAGGAGGAAAAGAGAAGAATTTGAGAATGAGAGGGGAAAACACAAGAAAGGAAATTAGAAATTGATAGATTTACACAAGTTTCATCATGTTGATTACCTTCACTGCCTGTGGTATAAAAGAATTTTGCATGCTGGTTGGTAAAGGGGGTCACTGTTTCTTAACTGGCGAAAAACTTGGTAAGGAGTCCCTACGTGGAGGGAGCATGGAAGAATGTCTGGATTGCAAGAATGATTTAACAAAATTTATGAACAATTGTTGTCGTCTATCTGCAAGGGATGGAATCTGTAAAATTTGAAGGGCGTGAAGGTAATCAACATAATTATATTCCAAAATGATACGGCAAGATCTTTTTTGGACTCGTTCGATCTTGTTCGACTGATTGGCAGTAAAAGATAATGACCACACTGGGGAGGCATATTCAACTAACGGTTGAGAATGATGAAAAGTAGAAGGGGATGTAACTATCATAAGATGATGCAGTTTGCCTTCGTCCCAAGACCCTTGTGTAAGTTCTTGAAGTAGTGTGGGTTCTGAAACAAGAGGTTTACAGAAGAGTGAGAATTGGGATTGAGTTTCAACACAAAGGTCAAGCAAGAAATATCATTTGATTAGTGCTATCAATAACCTATTGGTTTATTGAGAAATTTGAGGAGTAGAAGGGGATAGTACAACGACCTCAAGATGGTGCAGTTCGCCTTCGTCCCAAGACCATCGTCAAGTTTTTTAAGTAGTGTGGGTCCTGCCCCGTGAGATTTACAGGAGAGAAGGAAAGAAAAGAGACTGAGTTTCAAACAAAGATGAAGCAATAAATATCATTTCATTAGTGCTATCAAGAACCTATTGTTTTATTGAGAAATTAGAGGAGTAGAAGGGGATAGTGCAGTTCGCCTTCATCCCAAGGCCCTTGCAAGTCCAAGTTGTTTAAGTAGTGCGGGTCCTGAAACAAGAGGTTTACAGAAGAGGGAGAATTGGGATTGAGTTTCAACACAAAGGTCAAGCAAGAAATATCATTTCATTAGTGCTATCAAAAACCTATTGGTTTATTGAGAAATTAGAGGAGTAGAAGGGGATAGTGCAGTTCGCCTTCGTCCCAAGGCCCTTGTCAAGTTGTTTAAGTAGTGAGGGTCCTGAAACGAGAGGTTTACAGAAGAGGGAGAATTGGGATTGAGTTTCAACACAAAGGTCAAGCAAGAAATATCATTTCATTAGTGCTATCAAAAACATATTGGTTTATTGAGAAATTTGAGGAGTAGAAGGGGATAGTGCAGTTCGCCTTCGTCCCAAGGCCCTTGTTCAAGTTGTTTAAGTAGTGAGGGTCCTAAAACAAGAGGTTTACAGAAGAGGGAGAATTGGGATTGAGTTTCAACACAAATGTCAAGCAAGAAATATCATTTCATTAGTGCTATCAATAACCTATTGGTTTATTGAGAAATTTGAGGAATAGAAGGGGATAATACAACGACCTCAAGACGGTGCAGTTCGCCTGCGTCCCAAGACCTTTGTGCAAGTTCTTGAAGTAGTGTGGGTTCTGCTAAAAGACATTTTAAAATGAAATGAGAAGACATAGAGTGAGTTTCAAAATATCATTGGGATATCTATTAAGAACTTGATGAGTTGGGTATGATGATGAGGAGAAGAGGGGAATATTATGATGACTTCAAGATGGTGCTTTGTTGTTTGTTCCGAGACCCTTATGGAGGTTTTTTTGAAGGACTGGTGATGTCCTGTTCCAATTTAGTTCCATAACATATTTGTTTAAAACTCTACAAAATAATAAATACGCTTCGCAAGCATCTTGCTCAATTATCTCTTTTTGACAATGGACAAGGGGGACAGAGTATATCTAACAAATATTGATTGTTATTTTTTCAGATCACAGTTAAAACTATTCACCTGTAGTCACAGGGGATCTCAAGACTGCACTATACCCCTCAAATTTGTTTCGGCAGCACGGCACAGTTTCAAGATCACCTTGGGCAATAATTTTAACCGTGCCCCCTCACAGCAGGCATTATTTGCATAAAATCCTATGCTATCGCTTGGTGCACAATTCAAATTTCAAAACCATCCATGCTGCCTTAAAGCCTGTCTGCACTAGTTTGGCAGGAGGGATTAGACCTCCCTGCAAGGTCACTGACAGGTGGTTATCTCATCAAATCAGCTCTCAATTAACGTTAAAGAAAGGGGACCTTAGGGGACCAATCGTCACCAATTAAGTATTGATTGCTATATAGAGGGCGCAAGTAGCTAAAGAAGTGCAGTGGGGCAGCTTTAATACTTACCGGTAATTTGAGACCATGTCCGATAACGTCTAGAATCTTATGGTTCAGTTTGGTGCACCATCGGTAGAGCTCTTCCATCGACTGTCGGAACTCTGGTATGGTTTTATCAGGCCACATCTACATGGACAGGAGGAAGAGGGAGAGAATATTGAGAATCCACAATGAATATGAACTGGTTTGAAGTATGAGGGTATATAACATACTCTACTTCATTAACAACAATGATATTCTGGGTACATCTACATCTAAATGTATAGGGGGATGGGTAATGAATATTGTGAATAAACAATGCATATCAAATGATTTGAATATTTGATCCTGGTTCTTTTTTACTCTATTAAATTAAAGATGCATAGGAGTTGGCTCTCTTAGGCAATTCGACACCATTCAGATGTTTACCAAATAACAAGTTTTGTCAATCACCGGGATTAGCCTTCAATCTCATGACCAACAGGCCTTGTGTAATGCTCTGCATTTTCCACCAATCGCCCCTTATGGACAAGTCATTTTCTTACATTTCCCGCACCCAAAGACTCTCCGCAAGACTAGGGGCATTTCTTGATGGGAACACAGTTTTGCTCTGCGCAAAACTTATGACCTATTTCACATGGAAACCAAGTATAATATAGATTGATGACATGAAAAAAGACACATCCAGAAAGCACAATCCACAAATGTTGAATATTGTATTTTACGGTATTGAAGAAGAACAATCTCATTAGGAAACAGAGCTGTAAATGATAATAAATACTACATGTGTATGTACAATGACTAGGATTTAAGCATTAAGAAAATAGAATGCATCTATCAACAAAGTACATTTGCTCAATCAATGTTGATCTACACGACGAAGATGAAACACTAGCAGTTTGCAAAAGAACTAATTTTAAGATGCCAATGTTACTACAGAGTCCAGGCACAAACATACAAGATCAAAACAAAAAGGGATTACCCTACAACAAACATGCACTTTGTTACAACACAGAAAACACAGATTTCATGATTATATTAGTAAGAAAAACAGGGGGGGGGTGGTGGTCAGTATAAAAAATGATGATAATAATGTATTTATATACATGTAGTGCATTTTTCATATACATGTTCAAATGTGCATCACAATTAAGTTATTTAAACAGAAGAGGCAAGTGTTTAGATATATTTTGAAGGTATCGAGAGATTGCTATTTGCTAAGAAATATTGGTAGATTAATCCACAGTTTCAGGGCAGCAGTTGTGAATGTTCTGTCACCAACTGTGGGTAGTATCATGGGGGATGGATGGCTCAGTGTGTCTTGAGAGGGGCAGGACGGTTGCCTGATAGATACAAGTTCAGATAGGTAATAATAATAATAATATTCCGCTTTTATATAGCGCTTTAAGTCTGTCTGTACTAGCTTGGCCAGGGGGATTAGACCTCCATGCAAGGTCACTGACAGGTGGTTATCTCATCAAATAAGCTCTTAATTTACATAAGAAAAAGGGGTTCATGGGGGACCAACAGGCACTGATTAGGTATTGTTTGCTATGTAGAGGGCGCAAGTAGCTATAAGTAGTACAGTGGGCCTTTAATATTCAATAATGTCTCTATTAATAGAGGAAGGGAGGCAGGGAGGAGCCAAACTGTGGATCACAATAGAAAGTAGAATAGAAAGTTTTACATAAAAGATGTAGAACAAGTGCTTTTCACATCACAGGCACAAGGTGCAAAGAAATGTGCATATACTGTACATTACCTCAGCATGCTGTTTAGCAGGGGATGGGGGGGGGGGGGGGGGGGGATTATAAACACATACAGGAGATAAAAGGGCACACGCAGGAGTTAGATCGACAGAGTGGAGTTGGGGTCTATCAAAAAGTTGGACAAAGACGATTAATACTTCTAGCCGGGTTTTTTTTAGAAGAAAAGTATTTTTTTGAAGATATTGTCTTATGTTACTTTGGTGTACCTGTATCAACATGATCAAGAATGTTTTGGCACTATTTGCTACCTCTACGGACATTTGCTTTTGCATTTTTGTCTGCTCACCGCGGGACTTGAACCCACGCGCATGAGATCAGACGACGAACTGATTGCACCATACCGCCTCCTACTCTTCTGTTTAATAGCAGAAGTTGTACAACCCCAGAAGATACTTCAAGGACTCGGTGTGTGTGGTTATGGGTAAGGAAGCCTGGGGGTGTTTCACAAAGACCAAGATCGACTTTAAGTTGGACTTAAATATGGCAGGCCGTTCATGCCACTATTTTCTCTCATCATTTGTACTGGCATTGGTTTCTCAAGGGACGTACATTACCAATCGTGGTCACAAATCTACAGAATTTACATTTTTTGATAGTTCATCATTGAAGGAAAAAATATTATCTAAGATCATAATTGAGAGACCAATGGTCAGGGCAACTAGCGGCATGAATGGCCTGCCATAGTTAAGTCCTACCTAAAGTCGATCTTTGTCTTTGTGAAACACCCCCCCCCCCCTCGCCCCTCCCCCCTGGGTGCTGTGTGGTAGAGGGCAGTGGGCGTAATAGGGTATATCTTTAAGGTGTGGAAAAGGGGTACAGGCGTGAGCAGAATTGTTTGTTAGATGAAAAAGACAGCAAGCAAGTAAGCCCCTCACATAGGGAGTAGCACATACATCGTCTGTTGCCGCCTTGACCGTGTAGTTGAAACATTGCTTGAGGTCGCGCTCCCTCTCTGGACAGCACCTGAAGAAGGAAACAAAAGAATATGATGAACACATTTTTAAGGCTGTATTTCTCAGTCCATATTCCAGCAAATCATTTAACCTTGAACCTTGGTCAAAAATCATGTTTATTATTAAAGAAAAACTTTAACCCCAGACTTCCTTTCGTTAAGCAGATTTCGACCCCCCCCCCCCCAAAAAAAAAGAGCCTCAACATAGCATCAGGTTGAATCACAATTTAGTAGAATACATACTATAGTATTTAAGATCATCTCATCAATTTATCATGATAATTAGATATTAGAGAAATAAATATTAGAGAAATAAATATTATAGAATAAATATCCTCTTGAGAGCGATTCTATGCAATGTGTCCTGAAGAATCTCTCGATATCAAGGTCATTTAATAGTGTTTTCTGTTATTACTACCATTAGTTCATAGATGAAATATATGGAAAAATGTCATCAGTCGTGTGGGACAGAATCACCATTTATCCTCCCTTCTTTTCCCTACCTTTCATTTTTTTTCTTCATGATAATAATCATTAATATAATAACACAACTTGTTTACCCAGGGTAGCCTCATCAGTAATAATACCGTTCACCCTGAGGCCCCTGCAATCATATTAATCCCCCGGCCTTAGCCCAGCTACCATGAAAGGCACTGAAGCATTCAAGAAATTTCTTCCTACCACGTACATCTGTATTTACTGCACCTGGGGGGATTGTAGCAAATGTAGATTAAAAATTAAAGTATTACATCTCATTTTAGAGGGTATATTCTTCAAAATCATCAAAGAATCTACGTTATGGGACATTCCCAAAATAAGTGTGTGATAGATTCAAAAATCTTCTGAGCGAAACGTACATAACTCAGAGTGGTATACACCAACAAATTTAAGTATTGACTTTGTGATTTTGAGAGAATTTACACTCTAAATATACTGTACAGCCCATGTATACAAAATGTATAAAGCATGAATATCACTTCAAATGTACCGTATGTCTAGGCAAAAGGCCTTGAGAACAAAATGTCATGGACAATTTGACGGTACCAAAAAGAATCACTATATGATACGTACTGTTCTTTCTCCGTCTCTTCATAACCATGAATAGAGAATTTGTTGTCTAATAATTTGGTATTATGATGCAAAAGCGCTTGGCAACAAAATGTCATGGACAATTTGACGGTACCAAAAAGAATCTCTATATGATACGTACTGTTCTTTCTCTGTCTCTTCAAAACCATGAATAGAGAATTTGTCGTCGCTTTGCCCGATGTAGTTCATCTTTGTGTCCTCCGACTGCTCGAAAAACTTCTTCGACGCTGCGAATGTGTCACGAATCTGAGGAGCAATAGAGGAAGAAAAGGAGAATATTTAAGGCATCGTTTAACATTGTTAAACCTGAGATGCATGGCCCTACAATTGTACATGTTATCAGTGTCTGTGATATTGTGTAATATTGAAGCCTTAGCAAAATTGCGCTTCAAAATGGTCAAGAAGTGCCTCAAACAAGTAAAAGTCTTAGAGTGACTGGTTTTACAGTACTTGTTTTCCCAAATAGACTGTAGTGTTATGAAAACCTTTAGGAAAATGCAAAATTTGGTTTTGATTTCCAATCATAAATATCTCGATAATAGTCATGGGATTTCTGAATGACCTAAAGGTTTATAATTATCATTGCAGCACAAGCAAAATCCTGGATTTTGTTTTAAAATCTGAGACAAAGTAACCAGATTCCTTTAAAAGTATCATAGTAAAAGCTTCTTAGATGCTACAAAATGTGTCACAAATCTACAATTACAGTGCTCAATCATGTTAAGGATTAAACGCCTGCCAACACTCAACCTTCCAGGGCATTGCTTTTGTACCAGTAGTTTGTTAGAATAGTCATTAAAGGGTAAAACTGGTTTTCACAATAGGTAATGAAAGTACATTTTTATTTCCATGGAAAATAAGGAATTGTGACCAGAAGACATAAAAAACAAGTTGCAGAAATTGTTTTCTTTCTCAAGATTCAAGATAATGTATTGTCATGTAAAAAAATACATAAAATTTGACTTTAAAGGTGATATACATGTAGTCTCTTTTTACTTTTTTGAGGCACTTCTTAATCATTTTGAAGTGCTTTTTTTTAGGGATTCAATATCATAGACACTGATAACACGTAGGGCCGTGTATCTCAGATTTAACATAAAAACAATCCTTTTAATAAAAGCCTTGGGAGCTTGCATCACTGTGTTCAGCTATTCTTGCACGTAGGGAAAAAAAGAAAATAAGCGGATGCACCTAACATTCAGCTTGGTTTGGGAGCAGCTATTTTGATAATACTCCCTACCAGAGGAAAATCTTTCACAATAATTTGGGTGAAAAACATTTAGACTTGTCAGTCATACATGTAAAATCAAAAGACAGTCTAGAGCAATGCCAGTGAAAGAATTAGCCCCCAAAATGCCCAAAAGAGCCCCCGAAAATCATATAAGAGCCCCCAAAATTTGCATTGAGTTCAATGCAAAACAAATTAAAGAGTGTTATTTTCATGCAAGCTTGAAAAGTAGCCCCCCAAATTTTTAAAGTATTTTTTTCCCTGAGCGATTCCTTCATACCGTGAAAATGTTATTTCTGCACAAATACAACTGTATTTAACAAACTCTGTTGTATTTAGGCATTATTTGTAATTTTGTAATTCTCATGAAAAAGGGTCGTTACCAACCTTTGCACGATTTGAAAAGTTTGGTGAGCTGTGTACAAGCCCCGCTTATTGCTGCTCTGCAAATTGCATGCGTAAGCAGAGATGCGGGAAGAGTCACATGACCAAAAGGCAAAATTCAGAAATAATTCTCTGGTGTTTTGAGAGTGAGCATTTACACACTGCAAAAAAAAAGTAGAATTTTGGCAGAGTTTAAAAAAAACCACACTCAGATTCTAGTGGCTAGTTATATATTTTTTTCTTTTTTTTTCCTGTTGTGTCTATGAGAAGACCTGGGGGTCTTTCACAAAACTTGTCATCAGTGACAAATGACAGTTCTTGTTAATATAAGCTACTGAAATCCTTGCTTCTGATTGGTTATCAGCAGATTTGTCACCGACTTTTGTCATTTGTCATTGAAAAAAGGCTTTGTGAAATGGGTCCCTGGTTGGTTTGCTCGCAGTTCAAAGCCACCAAAAGCCCTGACCTACAAAAAAGTTGGGTTAGTGTTGCTCTCCCTTTTTTGTGCCTCTGTAACTCTTTTCAGTTCTCACAATAAAGCTATATAGTTAAAAAGTCTACTCATTAAAATCAAACCCCATGGCCATACTATCAATTCACTGTTTGCAACGACCTGTAACAAAAATCTATTTCCTGACAGTATAACAACCTTGGTCAATTGATTGTCAACTTGGATTTCATAGAATGCCAAGAAATGTCATTCAGTAGTCAGTAGGCCTACTGGTATAAAATTCAATATTATTTGTTCACGAAAGCTTCTCATGCATTGTGTGTGAATTGCTATCTGTACAAAATATTTGCAGATCCCTGGGCGAATTCAAGCTTTTCAAAAGCCAAATTTTAAAGAGATTACAGGTAATTGAAAAAGAAAAAATTATAACTTTTATTATTTCAGAGAAAACTAATTTTGTTGACAAAATGAGACACCAAATCGTGAAAAGGGCCCACTCTTTTTAATGCCTCATAACTTGTTTCAGTTCTCACAATAAAACAGTATTTACAAAAGTCTATTCAATAAAATCGAACCCCATGGCCATACATGTATATATGCATTCACTGTTTACGATGACCTGTAAAAAATATCTACCTCGTTTCCAAACAGCATAAATTTCACACCTTGGTTTTTATTTTTTTGTCACCTCAGATTTCATAGAATGCCATAAAATCTCAGTCAGAAGCAATGTGAACACCTACCAGTATTGTTATTGTGTGAGACTTTCTACCACTAAAAATATTTTCAGAACCCTGGGCAAAGTCAAGGTTGCCAATAGTTACACTGTAATTGGATTGGAGGCAAAAATAATCAAGACATAGTGCATTGCATGGAGAGTATACTGTACTGGTAGATCACTACTTTAAAAAAAATAAAAAGTGTAAAGGAGAGTAAAGAAAGGTAAATACTGATAATGTGTCATTGAGAAGGATACAGGATCTTGGAATTACCAAGTCAACAAGAGCAGTGGTACACATACATACTAATGAAACCTGAAAAACATTTTAAAATTACATACAGTACATTGTATTTGTTGCATTTGTTAGTTTTATTTACTTTCTGGGGTACTCGTCGTTCAATTTCGAATACATGTATTTCATGCTTTTTTTTCTTTAGTTTGAACGGCACGTTTCATTCAATTGTTAGATTTTTGCCATGTACATGTAATACATGTGCCTGTATTTAGTTTTACCGGTAGACTTTAAATCATATTTTGTGGTTGTGGGATCTTTGATTGTTGTTGAAGCTTCTAGGGCCCCTGTCTTATAAAAAGTTGACATCAATCGTAAATACATAATAATAATAATAATAATAATAGTGGGTTCTTGTATAGCGCTCATGTCAGTCAGATTTGACCCTCCTGGCGCTCCCGATTATTACCCTGGCTTTAGCACGGCTGCCATACGGCGCTCTAGCATTTCGAGAATAAATTCCTACCAGGTACCCATTTACTTCACCTGGGTGGAGTGTGGCAAATGTAGATCAATGTCTTGCCAAAGGACATTAGTGCGGCGGGAATCGAACCGCAGACCTTGTGATCGACAGTCCGGCGACGCATCCACTCGCCCACAACACCTCATGTACATTACATGAGGGATAGGAGATTACAAACTTCTGATTGATTTAGATTTTGGATCAATCGCAACTCTTTATAAGACAGGGCCCAGGTCTCATTGCCTAATTAACTAATTACCCAACGTTTGATCTGATACCAAAATCATGTTATTCCAGTCAAACCTTTTATTTTGTACAATTTTTTTCAGCATCCTTAAAAAGTTAAGCATTTTATTTAAGTTTTACTTAAGTTTGAAATTGTTGTTTCCGTCAACTGGCAAGTTGTATTGAAATGTTTGCGTTTGTTGATTTTCTATTTGATTTGTTAAAATCGATGGAGGCGAATGGCCGATGGGAGCGCGTTAACTCACTGTAGCCTACAAGTTCTACTTGCTACCTAAATTTGCACTTAATTCTAAGGTTAGTTGTTATGGTTGTTAAAGAGTGATTTACTCTAGCAAAAACTCTGTCTTCTATTCTAAATTTATACAGATACAGATAATAAACAAATATATTGAATTTAAACATATATACATTGAATGCATAATTAACATACATTAGATGCAGGAGGGCTACAGAAATAAGCAAAGTAGCTTGACGTGCCGGCAGCCCTCAACTTACATGTAGATACAACAATACAAAATAAAAATAGAAAAGAGTGACTTGCAGAAAAGAAAAGGAAAGGGGAGAGAAGGAGGAGGAGGAGGAGCGTTGGTAATAATACAATAAATCTCATACATCTACCGATTGAATGCAGGTTCATTCATGAATGGAAAAACGATGCTAGGTCATGGACGATTACACATCATTGTTGAATATACAGTCAATGTACACACGAACATGAATACAGTAGAATTACACACGACATGATCAATACTTAGGCAATAACATAGTTTTAACTGCCTTCTTAAAAGAATACAGTGTCCTAAGGTTTCTTATTTCAATGGGCAGAGAGTTCCAGATGTCAGGGCCGGCGTGTCTAATGGATTTGAGAGTCAATGCGGTTTTTGGATTTCTCAAATGGAATTTTTCAGTTTGTCTTGTGGGGTAAGAGTGGATGGTTTTATTTAAATTAAACAATGGGGAAAATATGAAGGTAGTAGACCATTTTGTAAGCGAAACATGAAAAGTGCTATTTGTAGAAAATTTATATCATCAGCTTTTAGAGTTTTTAGTTTTGAAAACAAGGGATTGGTGTGGTCGCGATGGGAAGAATCAGTACATATACGCATGGCTTTCTTTTGTAACAGTAAAATGGCGTCAACGTTGCTTTTCGAATTTGCCCATATAATGTTACAATATGAAATATAAGGCAGTATCAATGAATTATAAAACATAAACAAGATATTTGAAGGGACATAATATTTCAATTTACAGAGAATACCAATATTACCTTGTGCGACCCAAAAAAGGAACCATGATGGCAAAAAAAAAAGGAATTTCAAGCAAAAAAAAGGAAATTCATGAAAACAAAAATGAAAACCATGTGCGACACACTTCCAATGCAGAAATGTCCATTCCTCATGCTGTGTTTTCTATATGAGCACCTATAGTTTATTTACAAGTAGGTAATTTTTTATTTATTTATTATTATTATTATTTTTTTTTTTTTTTTTTTTTTGGGGGGGGGGGGGTATTAAACAGATTTATTCAGTCAAGTTGGTAAGCGGAACCGATTTCAAAATGAAATGCATCGGATATATATGCATCCAGTAGATGGAGTATTTTTGGCAAAGACTTTCGGCCATAAATGGCCAAAACAATTGAACAGGCGCGTCTCACACTTCCGTATACTGATGCTGATGCTAATACAGAGAAGAGCCGACCCTACTATAGTACTAAGGCTAGATCTATGCACAACCAAATTAGAGGCTAACGAAGGAAAGAGACAGAGATTTTGGTCTCGCCTAGGATCTACATCATGATAAGTCGATAACATAACAAAAAATGCTTTCAAAAGTGCATTACAATCTTGACACAGCAGACAATAGTTTGAGACGATAATTTAATGTTAATTTTTCTTTCCAAGTTAAATTTGGTAAGTTAAATTTGTTCATCGACATCATGACTTTCAATTTCATTATGCTCAGTCATCATATTTTGATATTTTACGCAAATTCACTCCTCGTTCATGTAAATCATTAATAGACCCTACCAAGAATAACATGTTAAGTATTGTTTCAGGAATACAGAATAGGTCTACAACTTGTTCATATTTCGACCGAACTAGATTTAACAATCTTTTCAAATTTGGGTTCGTAGACACGACTCACAACTTCACAAGTCACTCATGCACCATGTGCACAGAGGCATCATATCACGAGCAGGCTTCTCGACATACCACAGTCACACAATTGTCCATGCGGCTTCTCTCCCGTAGAATGCTCCGCATTTTCGTGTCACGACCTCGACCACGGGCAAAAAAAATAATTACCTTATCGAGTGGAATTCCATGGTTTACGAGGTACATAAACCCCACTTTCGTCAAAGCATCATGGACTTCATCGACTAGTTTCTCGAATTTCTTCTCATCTGTAGCTTCAACATCCAAACGAAAGCAATCAAAGTCGATGATCGCAATACTTTTCGCCATGATTTTGACTTTTTACAACCTAGCTACCTCACTCACTCACTCCCTAAGGCCAAATAGCTAGTGCTGCGTACAAGTCTAGTCGTGTACGTGTTGCAAGGCGCTACGTCATGGGCTAAAAACGGTGCTCGACGCGATGTAGCTAGCTTACGCAATAATCGCAGTAAACTACTGTTGTACTCGCATAGCGCACTTGATGAAGTCCGGGGAGCGCGTTTCCGTTTTACACCCTGCCCTAGGCTTTTCGGCAAGAAATTACACGAAACATGCTGTATCCGAAGTCTAAGTTTGTTTATATCGACGTCAAGAATAGCGAAGCCAAAGCTTATGTACAATTTCAATTGGGGATGCGAGGGTCTTCTTGTTCAAGACGGTTTTCCCGATATATTATTGTTTTGTTATCGCTGGGCTAAATTTTGCGAGCTGATCACGCATCCTCACGCTCTTAGAGTATTGCGTATTAATGGATAAAAATAAATGATACGACTAGGAAGATCAACTAGTATAGAGAGTTAGCTAGCGCTACGTGACGTTTTCAGAGTTCTGGTGGTGTGCAGAGCGCCGAGGCAAGATGTGGACGACTAGACTCCGAATACCAGTCGGTTTGTAAAATTTTATTGGAGAAAAGCCTAGGGCAGGGTGTAAAACGGAAACGCGCGTCCGGGGAGATGAAGATGTGCCTGTGATGATCTTACTCCAATGCAATGCAAGGCTATAAGCCCCCCTCAATCAATCTCCCAATATTTATAAACTGTCAGTTTTAATAATAATTTGAATACTAAGTCGATCTGAAGATTATAGAAACGCATAAAGCTTCTAGCCCAGAACATAAGTGTGCAAATATATTTGGGGAGGGCGGGATCAATGATAGCCTATCCGAGCCCGAACAAAATATTGGGAGGGGGGTGGGGGGGGGGGGGGGGGGGGGGGCTCGATGATATCCGAGCCCCTCAAAAAATATCAGGGGGCTCCGTGATGTTATCCGAGCCCCACAAAAATATCGGGGGCTCCGTGATATTATCCGAGCCCCACCAACAATAATTGGGGGGGGGGGGGGGGCTGATGATATCTGAGTCCCTCCAAAATATGGGGGGGGGGGGGGGCTCAAAGATATCTTAGCCTTACCAAAATAAGGGGAGGGGGTGCTCAATGATATCAGAGTCCCGCCAAGAAAATATTTGGGGGTCTCAATTATATCCGAGATACATATATTTTTTTTTTGGGGGGGGGGGTCAATGTTATGCGAGATCCGATGTCTGAGCCCCCCCCCCCCCCCCCCTCCCCAAATAAATATTTATAAAATGTTTATATTTGAATGGTAAGTCTGTAGATTATAGGTATACATGAGTTTCATGCCTAGAATATAATGATAGGGGAGGTGGGGGTTAATGATATCCGAGCCCCGCAATAAGTATTGGGTGCGGCTCAATGATATGTGAGCCCCACTTAAAATAGTGGGGGCTCAATGGTATCTGCGCCCCTAAGGACTCAATGATATCTAAGCCCACCACAAAATTGGGGGCTCAATGATATCTATAAGCCCCGCCAAAAATATTGGGCGGGGTTCAATGATATCTGAGCCCCCCCCCCCAAGATTTGTCATTGGGGGGCTGTGCCCCCGCAAGCCCCCCTCCCCGGTTCTTAAGCCTATGTCTACGATCACGACTGAATCACCATGGTATCACCGAATGTAAGGATCAAGATATAAGAAGCCAAATTTAGTTTTTGTTTTGAGGATACCGTAGGTTGACTGGAATTGTTGTACAAACGTAGCTAGGCTTGTCACATGGAAACTACAGATATGATATGATGTGGGCACGGATTCAAGGAAGGAAAACTTTGTTTTACCTACTAAACTACTACTATTATTGCTACTTTGTACATTCCGGTGTATGGAATTGATGGGAGTTCAGTTGAGTGTTAATAAACAAAGAACCATGAAATTACCACATTGTCTCAAGGATCATATGTAGATATCTCTACATTAGTAAAACAAAGTCGATTCTTCAACGGATACTGCATGGATGAAGGAATTCGACACGGCAAAGCCCCCGGGCGTGATACTCGCGAACACCGCACAAGTACTAAAGTCTGACGTGACGTGACACAGTGAGTAATTCAATGAAATGAAACTCAGAAGTGAAATCGGCTGAATGAAATGAAACTTTGAAGTGAAATCGGCTAGACTCTATAGCTCTACACGTTACTGCTGATTTGAAAGGAATGTTTATCAAGTAAATTGCAATTATGCTGGATGGGAATACTACTCCCAAATCCCCAGGTGGGAAAGATAAGGAACTGAGCAATGCCAATGGCAATGATATCGATCATGTCGTGAAAGATAAGGAACTGAGCAATGCCAGTGGCAATGATATTGATCATGTTGATGATAAGGAGAGTGGTGCAACAAGGAGCTTTACTAGAGAAAGAGATCTAGAGAATGGGAAAGAAGATCAAGATGACTCAGAATCCACATTGTCATTATGTGGATCATCGGCCTCTTCTGCCAGTACTGCAAAGAGGAGAGAAAGAGAGAGAAAGAAGGAAAGACAACTTAAAGCAAAGTTGATAGCCTTACATCAAACGAGTGAACTTGAGAAGAAACTGAGAACACTTCAAAAACAACATGAAATGGAACAAGCCGGACAAGAAATACGAATTGCAAAAGAAAAGGCTGAGAATTTGAGAAAGAGTCAGCTTTTGAAGGATGAAGAAGCGGAGATTGAAAGACAAAAGACTGCTATTCTCTTGCAAGCAGAATTGAAGCTTCTACAACAAGACTCAGAGGAAGAGCTACAGAAATGGAAAGTGGAAGGTGATTCTTTCCGTGATCGTGGACAAGAACGAGAACGAGTTAGAGGTGATTTTGTCGGTGATCATGGACAAGAACGAGATCAAGTTAGAGGTGACTCTTTCCGTGATCGTGGACAAGAACGAGAACGAGTTAGAGGCGATTTTGTCGGTGATCATGGACAAGAACGAGATCAAGTTAGAGGTGACTCTTTCCGTGATCGTGGACAAGAACGAGAACGAGTTAGAGATGATTTTGTCGGTGATCGTGGACAAGAACGAGATCAAGTTAGAGGTGACTCTTTCCGTGATCGTGGACAAGAACGAGTTAGAGGTGATTTTGTCGGTGGTCGTAGACAAGAACAAGAACAAGCCTTTCGCAAGGAACCTGTGAGCAATGAAGAAGGAGCCACCAAACAGATGCTTAGGGAGATGATTAGATTCACTGCAGAAAACAGTCTACCATCGCCAGATCTCGAGCCGTTCAATGGGGATCCACTTGATTACCTTACCTTTATAAGGAATTTTGAATATGTGGTTGAAAAGAGAACTGATGAACCTTTCAGAAGACTAGAGCTTCTACTAAAATACACACGAGGAGAAGCGCATGAGCTTATTCGAGAATGCCCCCACATACAACCAAGTAAGAGGGCATATGAGACTGCCAAGTCCATGCTACACAGAGACTATGGAAAGCAGAGTAACATAATAAATGCATACAAGGAATGGGCAATTGCCTGGGAGCAGATACGATCAGGAGATAGGCAAGGATTGCGAAAATTCGCAATATACCTCAATAATTGCTCACATGTTAGAGCAGCAGGGGACTTAGGAGGCATGGATAGTGCAAGTTTTCTGAGAGTTCTGGCAAGCAAACTACCCTTGTATCTCCAACAGAAGTGGATCTCACGAGTAGGCCTGACTCGTGATATTGCCAATAGGAATCCCACCCTGGACGACCTTGCACAGTTCGTCATACAGACTGAAAGAAACATTAACGATCCCATGGTACAGGGATTGGGATATCAGAGGACTGAGAAAAATGCTTCCTACAATAAAGATGAGAAAGAAAAACTACAAAAATCAAGAAGCACAAAGGCATTTGGTACAGCTACACAACAGGATAGGGAGCAGAAGGACAAGAGGGATCCAAGTTGTACTTTCTGTGGCACCAACTCAAGGCATGTTATTGACGAGTGCCGAAAATTTGAAGCCTTGACAGTTGAAGAAAGATCAGAGCAATGTAAAAGGAAAGGCCTCTGCTTCCGATGCCTGAAACCAAAACATCTGAAAAAGGAATGCAAGAGTAAGATCAAGTGTGATGTCTGCGACAGGATGCACAACACTCTAATGCATGATCCCAGGTGGATGAAAGACGGAGAAGGAAATACAAGGAAAACCACCAATGATGCTTCAACATCTACCGATGTGCAAAGTGAAGCTGGAAAGATCTCTTCAGGGTCTACCAATGTGAAGAAAAGTGTTGGAGGAAAACCCCAGACATCGACATGCATGACGATAGTTCCAGTCATCGTGAAGCACAAAGGAAATGACAGATGCATATCAACTTATGCATTCATAGATAATGGATGCGGAACAGTCTTCTGTGACACAGAACTTACCCAAAGGCTGCATGCAAGAACTAGGAAAACCAAGCTAATAGTCAAGACATTGAATCTTGAAGAAGTGATAGATACAGAAGTCACTGTAGATGAGCTGCAGATCGCAGGAGTAAAGGAGAAGGAATTCATCAATCTTCCGCCCATCTATGTCAAAGATGGTATACCAGTGACAGTTTCAGATGCTCCAACTCAAAATGATCTGAAACGATGGAAACATCTGAAGGACATAGAATTGCCAGAAATAAGTAACAGCAACTCTATTCCAAGGGTAACTCTCATGATTGGAGCCAACGTTCCGTCAGCATCGATGCCTCTAGAAATTAAAGCTGGTGACATCGAAGAACCATATGCTATCCGCTCAAGGCTAGGTTGGCTCGTGTATGGTATACAAGCTCAAGAGCAAGCAGATATTCACAAAGTCTGTTTTTGTAAACAGGAAGAAGTTTCCATCATTCCTAGACAAGAGGAATTAGAACGGAAATTCAAAGACTTCTGCAATATGGAATTTACAGAGAGACTAAGTGATCACAGAGAGGGCCTGTCAGTTGACGACAAGAATTTCTTGGACATAATGGAGAAATCTATCACTAAGAAAGACAATCATTATCAGATGGATCTGCCCTTAAAGCAGAGAGATGTGGCTATGCCTAACAACAAGGACCAAGCTGAAAGATTTCTGGAAAGACAAGGACAGAAGTTATCAAAGAACAAGGAAATCCATGAACAGTACACCACATTCATGAATGATCTGGAAAAGCAAGGCTATGCAGAGAAGGTTCCAGAAGCAGACTTGGACAGACATGATGGGAAGGTATGGTATATCCCTCACCATGGGGTGTATCATCCCCAAAAGCCAGGAAAGATTAGAGTAGTCTTCAATTGTCCTATCAGCTACAAAGGAAAGTCTCTTAATCAGGAACTCCTACAAGGACCAGATCTAACCAACAGATTGCTTGGTGTTCTCCTCAGATGGAGGAAAGAGAAAGTGGCTATAATGGCAGATATACAGTCTATGTTCTATCAGGTGAAAGTTACACCAGACCAATGCGACATGCTGCGTTACTTGTGGTGGCCTGAGGGGGATATCACCAAAGAGCCAGTAGCCTACAGAATGCTAGTCCATCTTTTTGGGGCTACATCTTCTCCCAGTTGTTCGAATTATGCCCTGAAAAGAACAGCAAAGGACAATGAAGGTTGTGCAAAGGAAGAAGTCCTAGATGCCATACAGAAAGACTTTTACGTTGATGATTTTCTGAAGTCAGTGTCAACACCCCAAGAAGGCATTGATCTAGCTGAATCATTAAGACAAGTGTTGTCCAAGGGAGGCTTCAAGTTAACCAAATGGTCAAGCAACAGACGAGAGGTCTTGGATTCCATTCCAAAGGAGGAACATGCCGTTGAATTGAAGGATTTGGACTTACAAAGGGAAGTTCTTCCAACTGAACGAGCTCTTGGTGTGAGATGGGATCCAGAAAATGACCAGTTAGGCTTCAAATTGAAAGAAATGTCAAGAAAGGCTACTCGTCGAAACATCCTATCAGTAATGAGCTCAGTCTATGATCCCTTCGGGCTAGCAGCACCATTCGTTCTGAAGGCTAAGATAATTCTGCAAGAATTGTGCCAAGCTAAATTGGACTGGGACCAGTCAATCCCTGAAAAGCAGAAAATGGAATGGGAACATTGGATGAATGAGCTACAAAATCTTGACCAGGTGAAGACTGAAAGATGTCTAAAACCAAAGAACTTTGGTATAGTAACAAACAGACAGCTGCACCACTTTGCCGATGCTAGCATGGATGGCTATGGTGTTGTGACCTACTTGAGACAGACAGATGAGAATGAAGAGGTTCATGTGGCATTTTTGACAGCTAAAGCCAGGGTTGCCCCACTGAAGCCTCACACTATTGTGAAGATGGAGTTAACTGCTGCAACACTCGCAGTAAAGCAAGACAGTATGATCAAGAGGGAAATGAATATGGAGTTGGATGAGACAGTATTTTGGACGGACAGTCAAACAGTTCTGAAATACATTGCCAACGAAACTGCCAGATATCCAGTATTTGTGACAAACAGACTGAGTATCATCCGAGATGGATCAGAGACAAATCAGTGGAAGTACATTCCTACCAAGTTAAACCCGGCAGATCATGCATCCAGGGGATTGGATGCCAGTGAACTAACCAAGAAGAAGGAATGGTTTGAAGGCCCAGAATTCCTAAAGCGGTCTGAAGAAATATGGCCATCTGAGGGTGTGAAAGCTCCAGCAAGAATGGAGAAAGCTGATGATACTATGTCAGGAGATTTGGATGAGACTCACATTCATGCCACAATGATAAACAAGGAGGATCCAATAAGTGCACTCCTGTCGCATTATTCTGATTGGGATAAGCTGAAACGAGGAGTTGCCTGGATATTGAAGTTCAAGAAAATGCTACAAGGAAAGAGGAAAGGAATAGATGGCAATTCCAGTGAAATGTTCAGCCTGTCAAATAAGGACATTGAAGATGCCGAAGTCGCAATTGTTAAACAATTGCAACTTGAATCATTCCCAGAGGAAATGAAACGACTGGCTGGTCACGGAGAAGAGAAAGGAGTACCAAAACGCTCTACCCTTAGTAACCTTGATCCAGAATTGAGCAATGGGTTACTTCAAGTAGGTGGAAGGTTGCAGAATGCCCAGATTCCAAGCAGTGCTAAACATCAATACATCCTACCAAAGAAGCATCATGTAACCACTCTTTTAATGCAATACATCCATAGGAGAGTTGGTCATCAGGGACAAAATCACATGGTAGCTGAATTACGACAGAAATTCTGGGTGGTAGGAGCTGGAGTTTTAGCACGAAACATAGCAAGGAAATGCATCATTTGCAGAAAGAACCAAGGAAAGGCTGGTCATCAGAAAATGGCAGAACTTCCAAGAAGTCGAGTTCAGAGTGACGAGCCGGCGTTCACCAGAGTTGGCATGGACTATTTTGGTCCTTTTGAAATAAAGTGTGGAAGAAGCATAAGGAAAAGATATGGCGTAATCTTCACATGCCTGTCCTGCAGAGGGGTGCACATTGAAGTTGCATCGAGTCTAGACACAAGCTCCTGTATTGAGGCTATTCGTCGCTTCATCAGCCGCCGAGGACCTATGAAAGAGATGTTCTCGGATAATGGTACAAATTTAGTAGGAGCTGAAAGGGAACTGAAGCAGGCATTAAAGGAGCTGAATCAAGACCAGCTGATCAACTTTCATGCAAACCATGGCATGAAATGGCATTTCAATCCTCCTGCTGCTTCCCATCAGGGGGGAGTATGGGAACGCCAAATTAGAACAGTCAGAAAGATACTGTGTGCAGTCATGAGAGAGCAGTATCTAAAGTCCTACCAGAACGAGGAGCAGCTCCATACATTCATGTGTGAAGTGGAGGCCGTCATAAATAGTAGGCCTCTTACCCGATGTTCAGACAACCCAAATGATCTGGATGTAATCTCACCAAACAGCTTGCTGACTATGAAGGGTTCAACGACGCTACCTCCAGGGATCTTCGACGACAAGGACATCTACGCAAAGAAGCGGTGGAAACAGATGCAGTACTTAGCAGACCTATTCTGGAAGAGGTGGGTGCGAGAGTACCTGCCTTCTCTACAACGCCGACAAAAGTGGCTGCAGCCAAGTCGTAACCTTCAGGTGGGGGACATTGTACTCGTCATAGACGAAACAGCGCACAGATGTTCCTGGTCCATGGCCCGAGTGCAAGAGGTTATGCCAGACAACAAGGGGTTCGTCCGCAGAGCGAAAGTGAAAACTGCAACAACATCGCTAGTAAGACCAGTAACCAAGTTGTGTATTCTACTGGAGCAGGAAATTTGAATGGAGTTTGTCTCAAATTTATGAAAGGATCTACATGTATAATATGTGAAAGTGCCTTTAAATGGATGTGCTTTGAATCATTATTGGAGGAGGATATCAAGCAAATGAAGCAATTTGTGTTTGGATCAAGCGAACAAGTGGAATTCAGAGCGCCAGTGAAATTTTGTGTTTGTGTTAAAGTGAGAAGTAAAATATTAATAGCCCTTTGGCTAATAAGTGGTAATCATTTGTGATAATGAGCCAATACAGGATCAAAACATGTTTAATCGCGAATTTGCATTGGATCAACACATCTTTAATCGCGAATTTGCATTGGATCAACACATCTTTAATCGCGAATTTGCATTGGATCAACACATGTCAAGTCGCGAATTTACACAGGATGATTTTGTCAACACGCGAATTGCAAGAGAGCAAAGTTTTACGCGATTTCAAGAGAGGACGCTTCCATGAAAGGATGTCAATTTAAGACATTTAATTATGATAAGTCAGCACCGAATATTGTTTAGTCTTTGCAAGAACGATAAAGGATATGAACATGAACTGGAACGAACTAGTGAACTTTCAAACTGTTTAAGTTGAACTCTGTGAAATGCTATTCATGACTGAAATGTTTGTTTTGAAATTTGATGTTTTATACTCATACATGTGCATGTAAGTTTGTTGAGTTTCAATATTTCTTTGTGTTGTCACAATTGGGATGTTTAAATTGAGGATGATTGAACATACATGTACACAAATAATTAAAAGAGAATATTTTGTTAAAAATTTGTTCAAGGTAATGATTGAATTAGCCTCAGAGTTAAAATCAGATACATTTTGTTAATATAAAACATACCAGAAAGAGAGAACTCAAATAGGGTTAAAGGGAGAAAGTGTTTTGAAAACAGTGTATTTGTTGACATAGAAAGTTAGAAATTTCATTTTATTAGATGTTCAGAACATTAACATGAATGAAAAGATTTAAATATATGTGTCTGCACTCTGCAGTGTAGAGCATTATAAGGAAGTTCAGATTGTGTTATATTTAAATTGAGGATTAACATGTTTAAGTGTAGTAAGGAATGTTATTTAGTTTTATGTGCAAATGGCAAGGATATTTGCATGTGCTTAGTAGTCAATCCACAATGTGACTTCAGTCATGCAGGTAAACTTCGGACAGATTGATATATGCAAATAGAAAGAACAAGGTTAATGTTCAAGCAGAAGTGTAAGTATTACATGTATGAAGATGGTATTATGCACAATGCTAAATATTTCCTTTTTTCTATTGTTTGAAAGTACATGTGCATCTACGTTATTTCGATGTTCCTTTTATGTTGATGTACATGTACATCAGTTCAGTTCAATTGAAGGTGTTCAGAAATTGTTTTATGTTCAAGTAAAAACAAAAGGAAAAATGTTAAAGGTAGTAAATATAGCCACTAATTATTCTTGTTTTAGAAGAACAATTCTTGTGTTTGGATTTCATATTACTGGTTTATTTCCAGAGTTATATTTTGAAAGGCAATTATAACAAAAATGGTGTTTTTGATAATTTAATTACCATAGGTATTACATTTTGACAAAAGTTTGACAAAAGTTTGACAGCTATGAGTAAACATTGAAAATATTTTGATTTAAAGTTATCATTGATTCATGATTATTTTGTATTGGATGCTTTTGTTGAGTTGATACAGGAATGTTTATAGTAATCCAGGGATAAAGCTCGATTTTGCAGAATTTAGTGTATTCTGTGCATTTAGATAGTAAAAATTGGCAGAGTATAGAGAGATAAGTGTTACATCTCATTGTGATTATGATTTGTTTTGGAAACAGTTAGGTATTATATAAATAGAAAGTGTTTGAATTTAATTTTACCTAGGTTATGAGACAATATGTAGAAAATGGTTGTAAACATTTGATAATACATGTAGATAACAGTTGGTATTTTGTTAATTTACATCAGTGGTGGACAATTAAGTTTTGGTTAAATAGATGTTAATCGTTGCATCCTCTAGCTGCAACTGGGGGGAGGAATGTAAGGATCAAGATATAAGAAGCCAAATTTAGTTTTTGTTTTGAGGATACCGTAGTTGACTGGAATTGTTGTACAAACGTAGCTAGGCTTGTCACATGGAAACTACAGATATGATATGATGTGGGCACGGATTCAAGGAAGGAAAACTTTGTTTTACCTACTAAACTACTACTATTATTGCTACTTTGTACATTCCGGTGTATGGAATTGATGGGAGTTCAGTTGAGTGTTAATAAACAAAGAACCATGAAATTACCACATTGTCTCAAGGATCATATGTAGATATCTCTACACCGATCTTTAGCTAGCTCTAGCTCTAGCTATAGAAAAAAAAGATCGGTGTGTGTTTCTATGGCATGCAACGATGGGTATGATTGGTCAACATTAAACTAACGGTAGTGTGTTTTACTTACGTTACTGAATTACTTAGACAGTTGCGTTAATGAAAACTAAAGAGCTTACGTAGGTAAAATAATCCCTAGAATGAGTATACGTAAGCTTTTCATCATTTGACTAACGTAACTGTTTAGTAACGCAAGCCCTACTCTGTACAATCATTGGATACTAAGTGTACGTTAGTGTTTCCTTATTGGTTACGTTACTAGTTAAGTTTATGGCGGGGTTGGCCTTCCATAGTTTACTGCGATTATTGCGTAAGCTAGCTACATCGCGTCGAGCACCGTTTTTAGCCCATGACGTAGCGCCTTGCATCCTTCCCCTTCCATTCCTATCCATTCTTTCTCTCTCTCTCTCTCTTTCTTTCTTTGTTTTGCTGAGGTGGGGGGGGGGGGGGGAGGCGGGAGGCAAGGGCATTTTGCCCCCCCCCCCCCCCCGATCCACGACTGGTCGGCGATATCCCACTTCTTTTTTTATTCTTCTTCTTCCTCTGTTTTCCTTCCCTTATCTCCTATTTTCCTTTTTTTTTCTCTCTCTTTCCTTCCTGCTCTCTGTTTTTGCTGCGGGAGGGGGAGGGGGAGGCAACAGCATGGGCAAGGTCCTTTCGGCCCCCCCGATCTCCTTCTTTCCCCCTTTTTTTTCTTCCTCTTCTTTCTTTCCCTTTCTCTCTTCTTTCCCTTTCCCTACTTTTCCTTCTCCCCCTCTCTCCTTTTTTTTAAATTAAAAAAAAAAAATTGTTTTAATATATTTTTTTTTGGGGGGGGGGAAGGCTCCCTGGGCCCCACCTTTCCCCTGGATCCGCGCCTGGCTTACGCTTGGTTCGTGTGCATTCCGTGGGCTCATCTGCAGAGATCTGCGGCCTAAATAAAACAAAAATATTAAAAATAGACCTACTCCCCATCAATTCTTTTTAGTTCCCTTTCAGTCCACGCCCTAAATTGCAAAACAGCCTGAGTCCCTCCCCCACCCCCTCCTTGCTTGCGACAAGACGTATTAAAAAATATATGTAATGAATTGACAGGCCAGGTCGGGCTAAGAAGCCCCATACAATTATTCTAGCTCCGTCCCGCGCCACATCTGTTTCCCTTTTTTGGTGTTCAAATTGTAAACTTTTCAGAGAGTAAAATGCCAGAATTTTCCCATTTGAGAGTTATAAAGTATGATTAAAAGATACAGACCAGTCTTATAAGGACTAAATAGTACGAACTATACTGTAACACTAACACATACTCGCCCCGATCGTGTACCTTTGCATAACAAAATTCGCGACACGGCCGAAAAGGCTACTCGGCGGCCCGCTATAACAAGTGCTCTGATTCGCCAGAGTTCAACATGCGGTACTGTCTATCCCGTTTTGTTTACGTAAGCAAAATCCTGCTCTGTAATTGGTCTACCAATTACCGCAAGTAACGCCCCATTAACGTAAGCACGTACAACTAACTACCGCAAGCTACTACTCAGTAACGCAAGCACTACAACTAACTACCGTAAGCTACTAACCAGTAACGCAAGCTCGCTTGCGATATATGGCGGCGATGGCCTTCCATAGTAAACTACTGTTGTACTCGCATAGCGCATAACGTATGCAGCTATAGCCTAGTACGCGCGCACGTACTACACATTATTTGAATGTAGGTAATCTTTACAAGCTTAGCCTTTTTTTTGGGGGGGGGGGGGTCACATTTTTTTGTGAAAAATATGGGCACCTCTCTCTCCCCGCATGAACACTAAAATACCTCCAAATCGGTATTCTGAAAACTCACTTAGCTGTCCATCAACTCCTGCGCCCTCCCATATGCAGTTTCAGCCCAGAAATACGAGAACGGAAAAAAAAACCATACAAACAACAAAAACTTTAGCAAAACAACATGAAACAAAACAGTAACAAGAGAGTATTTAAACGAAAAACCGTCAAACCCCGTCCACTAATGAATATTCTATTTGTTCCTAATGAAACAGAATGTTCTGCAATGGTGCCGCTAAATAACCCAGGGGTATTTTTCACTTTAATTATTTATTCATTTATATTCATTCATTTATTTATTCATTTTATTGATTAATCATCCATAATTATATCTGTCTATTTATTGACTGGATATCATTGTAATACATGAAAGCATACTGACCGACTCTCCTTCTCTCTCTCTCTCTCTCTCTCTCTCTCGGTTTCTCTTTCAATATTCCTCTCTCTCGCTCTGTCTGTCTGCCTCTCTCTCTCTCTCTCTCTCTCTCTCTCTTTCTCTGTCTGCCTGCCTCTCTCTCACACACATTCCCTCCATCCATGACTCTCCCTCCCCTCCTCTCTCTCTCTCTCTCCCTCTCTCCCTCTCTCCACCTCCTCTCTCTTTATCTTTATCTCTTACCATGACGTAGAACGCTCCACAAGCTGAAAGAAACACTCGTGTATTAATGATATAGCTCATCGAACACTGTCTTCTCTATTTAATATGATTTCATCTTATACATTGTAACTGGGAAAAAACGAAATCCAACAAAATAATCGGTATTATAAAAATAAGCAATCACATAACTACCAAATCATCTTCAAATCTGTTTAATTTAATCATATAAACTATGTACAAACTGAAGGGTACAAACAAACAGACAAACAAAATACATATTGACATTAAACAATATTGAAAGTTTTCAAAATCAGAAAGTTTTTCTTGAAGCAACAGCGGCGGGTCCAGAATTTTCAGACGGGATGGAGGGGGGGGGGGGGGGGATAGACGTCCGATAATGTAAGGACAAGCAAAGTAATTTCCTTCCATTCCTTCGTCTTTTTCCACTTTTTGGTGGGGGGGGGGGGGGGGGGGTGTCCCATGTGCCTCCATTGATCCGCCCCTGGTATCATGCCATAGGCATACATAATAACATATGAGAGTGAAGAATTCATTAAAAGTTTGGCATTGGTGCAGATAACCATTTTGACAGGACAAAACTATACATTGTAGTACGGATAAACTCATTATTTACAAATTATAATAACATAAACTATGATAATTATACTACAAACATTTTTACCGGGGTTCATGCACATGCAATCAGATTAAAATCTAAACTTTGTGAAACGGGGCCCTGTTGAATATACTGGCGGAAAAAATCCGCCAAAACAACTACGTTTCGAACAAGATGATTGGACTATCAAAGTACATGTTTTTACCCTGAAACAAAACAATACAATTTATATAAATGTAATGCTTCCTGGGAGAATTTCAATTATTTAAACATATTTGTGGCTTACACCCAGTATGTTTAATAATTGAAATTTATCCCAGGTAGCATTACATTTATATAAGTTATTGTCCTATATGGCGGACTAATGAATATTAATGAGTCAGAATGAATCAGGAGAGCTTGGGTATTTGTTCTAGTTCATCGTGACTGTGCCATGGACCAGTGATGGCCTGGTGGTAGAGTCGCTGCCCGGCAAGCAGTAGATGCAGGTTCAAGTCCGGCTGGTTCCAAGATTTTTTCTGACTTGTTTTTCAATCGATCTTATTTACTGGGTGTAAGCCACAAATATGTTTAAATAAACAATACAATGTCACGGATCTTTACTGCTAAGATTTATTCATCGAAAGCAATCATTAAATAAAACTTTTTAAAGTCAAAGATATTACTCTTGAAACGTTATGCAGCTGGTTGACACAGTAAGGGTTTCATTCGGATTAAGACCAAAGTAGAAGAAGGTAACATAAATAAATAGAATTATGATAGAGATATATAAAGACAGATAGATTGATCATAATAATAGAAACATAGATGAATAGAAACATAGATAAATAGAACATAGATGAATAGAAAGATAGATGATATAGATAGATAAATAATAGGTTATGTATAGATGATATATAGAAAATTAGATAGATAGAAAATTCGATGAATAGGTAAATAAATAGATAGAGAGATAGATGAAAGAAACAAAGATAGACAGATAGATAAATAGATGTATTTGACTCAACACATTGTTCAGTTTTTCAGGTAATCAATTTGTCACATTTGCAGGAAAAAGAAGAAGAATGTTTTATGCTTCTTAAACGGTGATATAATTAATTGAACACCCACTTTTCTCACCCTCTGTCTAGTTTTCCTGATTTATATCTCCGTTCTGAAATACATTATTTGCATTTGTAATGCCTTTTTTCAATGACAACTGACAAAAAGTCAGTGACAAATCTACTGGTAACCAATCAGATGCAAGGATTTCACTAGCTTATAACAAAAACTGTAATTTGTCACTGATGACAAGTTTTGTGAAACAGGACCCAGGTGTCACATACTCACTGTGATGTTCCGCTGTGGCCTTTCACTATAGTTCATGTAGTTGGCTGACCTAAGCAGATGCAGCGGCTTGAACACCTACGGTTGCTGATATCGCCTTTTCAGAGTGTATTTGGCTTATCTGGTTGTTGGTTTCCGATCGACTTGTGTCGAACCAATCCGTGTTCCGCTGAGACCGTTCACGGTATGGCAGACCAACTCCTCTCATCGAAGGCACCGATCTGGAACCCATCCTTTGGTCCCATCCTCCCTGCGGTTACTGGGGTAGCGCTGGTACCGCATAGGGCGTGGTCGGTAAGGGGTGACAGGAGCGGCAGCTGCGGGACCCTTCGCGAAGCCACGTTCCCGCAGGAGATTCTCAACGCGCCCCATCTCATGGAAGTACTGCTGTCAGGATAACCTCCGTCTCCTTCTTAAACGGCTGTGTGAACGGCACCGGGGAGGTGAGCGTGGTCGGTTGACAAACGGACGATTAGCGGGTGGGGGTCTTCGTCGCTCCCATGGGCGTGGTCCGTCACGCGTCTCGCTCGATCTCCAATTACCATGGTTACTCCTCCAGCCGGGCGTTGGCCAAACCCGAAGCGTCTTCCACCGGTCGGTCTGTAGCCTCTGCGCCATGGAGGTGGTTGGATGAAGTCATACTCTTGTTGTCCGCCGCCTCTTTGCGGCCACCAGCGCTGTCCTCCATCGTGTGGTAAGGGTCCTGATGTTGGGATATCTTCGCTGGACGAGGTCGAGGCAGACTGGTCCGATATCCATTCGGGCTGCCGTGGTCGTCGAACGTGGTTTTCCCCCATGATGTCGTTGTTTGGTTGGATGATGTCACTACTACCTGTTAGGCAAAAATATTCATTCTTAACATCAGTTATTTGTTGTAGTCGTTAATGCGGTCTTTTTTGTGTTCTTTGTTTGTTTGTTGTGATTGGTTTGTATTGATTTCAGTTCTAGGCAAGCGCCGTCGAAAAAGAAGACAAAAATATTGCACATCTCTGTCCCCTGGCGCTTGATTAAAAGCATTGTACAACATTTTGAAGAAGGGCATAATTTTTACTCAAAGGAGTATCCAGTTTACAGGAAATTATCAAGTGCGAATGTTTGCGCGTGGAGAAAAAATTATGCTGTATACAGTTAATTTCTCTTTTATTTGTTGAACTTTGAGTATGGCATAACAGTGGCGGATTTAACCCCCCCCCCCCCCCCCCTGGGGAAAAAAATGTGATTTTTTTACATTTTTTAAACGTTAATTTTACCCTTTTTTGGAGATGCCCCCGTGGCATTCAAGGGGGGGGGGGGGTGCAATTTTTCAAATTTTCGAGGGCCCCCACAAAAAAAATTAGTGCTCACTGACCCCCCCCCCCCCCCCCCCCCCCCCCCAACTGACCGAAATATTGGCCGGCATGATTTTCATATTTCAGCACACTAAATTTCAAATTGATTTCAAAATTGGGCCCCCACCCCTAAGAAATCCTGCCGGATCCGCGCCTGTGGCATAACATGCCTAATTCAAATTGAAACCAAACCAACTTTGGCATACTCACTCCGTCGATAGATCCTTTCATTTTTCGCGATGCGCAGCCTCTTTCGCAGTCCTCTCTTCGATCAATGCGTTCTGTAGATGATGTTGGCGGTTTTGAAGCCCGACGAGCTCGTGGGAGAGGTTAGCGATGTTCTGCTCAAGACCATTGTATGTCTGCTGAACTTGGTAAGCCTGGGTGCGTTGTGCTTGCTCCTGAAAAAATGTTGAGAACATTGTTGTTAAATGCAAATTACTTTATGCAAATCTACCTACCGGTAAGTAATATTCTTAGGCCGTAAGAGCACAGGGGTAGCGCCCCTCGGCAACTTTTCTCCCAATAATGTTCCTAGCAGAGTGAACATTTATGAATACCTTTAAAAAAAAACATTATTAAAGGGGAATGATTTTAACTAAATAGTGCTACAAGTGGAAAGTTCAACATGACATTTAATCCTTACTGTCATAAATGTTCTTATAAGCATACTTTCGGCAGTCAGTAGTTTAAGAATATACTCTGTAATAATAATACCTTAACATTCAATAGTCGCTTGAGGTGCTTTATTATTTCGGAATAAAATAAATTAAAATTCAATTGACACATGGCATCTGTGTCATTCAATTCGCCCACATGACCTGGGGAGTGTTTCACAAAGACCAAGACCGACTTTAAGTTTGACTTTTGTTTGTTCTCACCATTTACTGATCTCTCAAGGCATGTATAAAATTAATCAAGGTCACAAATCTACAGAATTTACATCTTTTGATAATTCATTATTGAATGCAAAAATATTATCTAAAGATCATGATGGTGAGAGCAACCAGTGGCATGAATGGCCTGCCATAGTTAAGTCAAACTTAAAGTCGATCTTAGTCTTTGTGAAACACTCCCAGGATGTCTATGGAAGGAAAGATCGAACTGTTTATATACCTGCAGTGTTGCCCGGGTCACGGCTTTTCTCATTTCTCCATTCGCAGAGTTAAAACTCTTGATTTGATCCTGGTAAAGCCCTCTCTGTATCTGGGCCAGTGGCACCTCAAGTTCATCTGAATCATGATTGGGATGAAGCAAATGACATTATCAAAAGACGATAACCCCAGTTTTCGCATTTTAAAAAGTCAACAATATTCCTCTCCAGTTTGGTTGTTTATGATATCATGTACAATTACCGTTCTATGAAAAATGTTCCTACAAATAAATTATGGAACATGAATGGATACTCTCAAATTCAATGATTATACACATCCTACCATCGTCATATTAATTATTTTTCCGGCAGGGTGGAATATATTTGACTAAATCGTGTGTTAGATCAAAGTTAATCCCTCCCAGTTCGATTTATTTTCAGTGAGCCTATTCAGTTTCGAATACATTCCTTTTCGGACAATTATCGGAGAACATCAACTTGTTTTCCTGCTGGATGATTTTCTTGGAGAAAGCTATAGTTTCATTCTCAAAGGTCTTAATTTTAAAGCCGTGGTACAAAAGTACATTTGAGACACTTGTACCTAATTTAGAAAAGAAAGAGAAAAAAGACTTAATTACCACAAGAAAGACCCTCGTCTTGGTGTTCATTGGCCTTTTCCCAAGCCCGTAAGAGGTGACCAGTTTTGGCCTGGCGAAGTTGATCCCCAAGAAATACCTATTGAGAAAATTAAGGATTTTTTTTAATGACAAAGAAAAGCGATTATCGAGTAGCATGACACATAATCATAAGCGTTGCTACAACAATTATCTTACGAGTTCTGCGGGATGGGGTTGGGTTTTTTGAAAAGTGAGTTGCTTCTTCCCAAAAGGTCCTCATTCTTGTTTTTGTCGATGTGCATGACAGGCGAGAATGAGAAGAATGAAATCAAATTTTCAAGAAGATAGACATCATCATTTATCTGAGCGTTGCCAAGGAAGTAGACGCATGCGTACTTGTTTATTAAGCACATTTAAAGTTTAAAAGATTATCACTATTAGCATAAGAGATTGTAGAAAATTATACCACGCGAACTTCAATTTGGAATGTTATCATCGTTAATGATTATGATGATGTTGGTGGTTGTGGTGGTGCCAGTGATGATGATGATGATGACTGAGGAAGTGGTGTTGATAATGATAATGATGATGATAATGATGATGATGATGACTAAGGAAGTGGTGATGATGACAATGATAATGATGATGATAATGATAATGATGATGATGATGATGGTGATGATGTCAATGATGATAATCGTCCTTGTTTTCACGAAGTGACGGTAGTGAGGAAAATCGTAACGCAAAGTGAATGCAATTTTTTTTCACTACCGTCACAGCGACGTAATGATGATGATGGTGATGATGATGATGATGTTGATGACAATGATGATGATGGTGATGATGACAATGAAAATGATGATGATGATGATGATAATGATGATGATGATGACAATGATGATGATGATGATGATGTTGATGACAATGATGAAGATGGTGATGATGACAATGATGATGATGATGATGATGATAATGATGTTGATGACAATGATGATGATGATGGTGATGATGACAATGATGATGATGGTGATGATGACAATGATAATGATGATGATGGTGATGGTGATGATGATGATGGTGTTGATGACAATGATGATGATGATGATGATGACAATGATGGTGGTGATGATGATGATGTTGATGATGGTGATGATGATGATGATGATGTTGATGATGATGTTGATGATGATGATAATGATGATGATAATGATGATGATGATGATATGACATCATGTTACTCACCACGCTTCCATCCGGCATCACAGCCTCATTCAGAGACATCCGATCTAGAGTGATCTCCAGGCAGTTGAGGCTATTCTCTAAGAAATCAGCCTGTGCATCCAATTGAGTCCTCGCATTTGCAGCGTCCTGGAGACTAGCTTCAAGGCTAGCCCCGACGGGAACATTGTAGTAGTTCAATTCTTGAGCCTCAGGAAGGATGATGACGATATCTGGAAACGGGAAAATTTAACAGAAATGCGTGCGTGAGAGATATTTCAAAAGTAAATAAAGTGAAGTAAAACAAACCTAAAAGAGAAGTAAAGGAAATCATAGCCTGGATGGAGATGAAATAGTCTCAAATATGATAAGGGATAACACAAAAAAATATGTCAGCAATCTAGAAAGAAACGAGAAATAAAAATAAAAATTAGGAAGTTCATAAGTGACAGGAGAGAGAGGAACAGAAAATGAAAGACAGAGGGAAGATTAGATAAAGAGAAAGAAGGGAATAGCACAAGATCTTTAATAAATAGAAATGATACATTAACCTTTTTATATAGAATAACTGATTATTGATTGCTTTTCGATGTTGCATTAAATATCGTTTAATAAATCAATGATAAATACTATCAGATTTATCTGAAAATCGAACAAAAGAATTAAAATCACTTTCTAATATTCATAAGTCCAAAGACTAGATATATATGTATAAAAAAACGATGTCATCTAAAACAATTCTCTAATGGGCCCTATCTTTTCAATCATCATCTTTACTGTCGTTGTTGTTTGTTTGTTTGTTCTAGTTTTGTTGATGAATGAAAGGGGGAGAGGGAATATAATTTATTAAATGACGTACCATCATAGCTGTCATCCAGTTCTTCGTATCCCAACTGCACGTTCTTCGATGGCTGCACCTGTTCTTCTTCTAAAGACAAAAAATAAAAATGACCGAAATTTGTCATTTCAAAGCTAAAAAAAGAAAAGATCTCAAGTATTTTTTTTACAGTAGATAGAACCAAAGAGATTTCGCATACATTACTATCTGCGTTCGACGAATGCTATGATGGATTTCTCCACGGTTAACTCTTTTCTTCACAAGTGGGCCGATCTATATTTATGGGGAGCTCAAGCCTTACCCCCCCCCCAAAAAAAAAAAAGAAAAGAAAAAAAAATCGAGACACATGTAAAAAGTGAATTCCCCAAAGCCCTATCCCCCCCCCCCCCTCCATTATTTTTTTGAAGCGCTTCTGTTTTCACTCCAACCCATTTTTTTTTCCTGATCCCCCAACATAATTATAACCTTAACCACTCACTTTCAAAACAGATCGTAGTTACTTTAACATTTGAAATCACTTATTTAGATATTTTTTTCACTTTTCAGACCTTTGGGTTTTTTAAAATCATAATTGGGTTTATTTGAATCTTGATGAAAAATTAACCGTAATCTATGACATTGCTATGTTTACCATAATCAATCTCAGCGAGTGCGGCATCGACAGCCACCGACGAGAGAGCCCTCGAAATCTCGTCGGCGTAATCGTCATCGGAGCCGCTTTTGATTACAGACTCAACCAGGTTTGCCGTTGCGTCTCCAGCCCCACAATCGACATCGCCATCGGCTTCCTGTTCCTGGTCCTCCTCTCCCTCGTAAGACCACGTTTGCATGTAGTCTCGGACGTCTTCTTCGATCACGGGACTGAGCGTCGGACGTCGAGACGACCCCGCTCGTGTGGTTTCCGGGGGCGTTGACGGAGTGGGTTCGAAGATCTCCGAGTCGAGCTGGCTATCTTCTGCTGAAGGCGGGGTGGTGTCGATATTCTCAGTGTTTTCTGAACCATAAAGTTAAAAGAATTTTGAGATCAAGGATGTTATTGATATACCTGGGGGAAAAATGATGTAGCAAGACTATTCGCCTAAATGCAGGTTATTTTTATCAATTTTGTTAGGCACATAATTATTACGCAGCATGAACTTTCACAGTAGAATTATGATTGAATTATTGAAAACTCATCAAGTATACAACATAATTATCAACGTACACTTGCAAATGGAAAAGGAAAAACAAAGTTGGGGATCATGTTCACTGTACAGGATATTTAAGTCATAATCTTCGTCACTTTTTCATTTTTTTCTTTGTCGAGGGTGGGGGATCAAAGTATAAAATATGTTTTTTTACGTACGAGGAGACATTAAGCTTTATTCTTGATGTGTTAATTCATTTTTTTGAGAAATCTTCGATTCTTTATTCAATTATTAAAAAAAAAAAAAAAATACCTTCGTCTCCTTCGGGCGGCGGTCGTTGATATCCTTCTTCTTTCTCGATTTGTCCATCACGGGGAGGAGTGTGAAGGCGTAGACACTGTCCAATGACCATCAGAGATGATGGGTCATCGCAAGGACGATGATTCATGTAACCGACATCAATGCCCCCATCATCGTCGAATTCGTCCTCGGTCGATTCAGATTCGTCCATGGGAGAATGGTCTGGTGATTTGATCATAACACGAGCGTAGAATTTCATTTCGTTATGTTCGTGTCCAACAACAACACTTTTCCTTCGTCATTAGCATCATCATCATTATCATTATTCTTTTTAACATAATGACAGCAACATCTTCATTTTCTACTTCTTCTCTTCACAATCATCATCAAACTCATCTTCTTCATCTTCTTCTTCTTTCTCTTCCTCTTCTTCTTCTTCTTCTTCTTCTGATAGACTCCTGTTCCTTATTACACGCACTGTCTGTCCAGATATATTATAAAGTCGATAATCCGGACAGTTGACTTTCAAGTAATATTTTCAATGTTGTCTTCTTCTAATTCCTCTCTTCATAATCACATTATTATCTTCATCATAATAAGTATCTTCTTCTTCTTCTTCTTCTCCTCATCTCTTTCCGTTATCCTTTCCCTCTCATCTTATTTTCGGGCAATGTCTGCACCCCCTCATCCATTCTCTTTTCAACTTATTTACTTAGTCTATACCGGGATAAAGTTTTCTGCTTTTTTTTTTCATCCTCAACTCCGATAAAAGTCACGTTTTGCATCTCACTAGGAACATTGTTTAGAATCAATTCATTAAGAACTTCAAAATGTTTGTCTGGTCATAACTTTGACTCACCTCTCATAAAAAGCTCATTCTGTTTTTTTTTAATAATATTTTCTCACCTTCGAGGAGAATTTCTTCTCCCTCTGAATTGCCCAACGAAGTCTCCTGCTGACTCATGATCGGGACTCCGATTTCGAGCTCAACAGTAGCATTTTTAGGATTGATCTCGCCTAACTTGTCAAGACCGTCATCAATCACTGTCTCGACGTTAGCTTGATCCCCGGCCGCAGATAACTCTGCGACGTCGTACTGCCGGTCCTCGATGTAGATCGGAATATTCTCCTCATTTTTGTTCGAGATCTTTTCCTGGAAAACACTCCCATCTCGGTCGAAAGATGAGTCAACCGTTATACTTTCATCCGTCATGGTTATACGACAAAATATTGAAGGGCAAACCAAAAACTATATTGAAGAAATGTTTTGATTGGACTTCGGATTTAGATAAAACTTTGGTCTATTTTTAGTGACCAATTGCAGAAAACCGATATTACACTGAACTAGACCAAGGCAATGCTAATTTGACTGAACGAAAAGGATTTTTTTGAAAAACTAACCCAAAATCTACAAACAGCGCAGCATCTTTACAATGCGCGCGCGTGAAAAAGCATGCGCGAAATTAATTATGACGCGCAAATGTAATGTGACGCAAATCATGCGGTTGATTGAGCTTCGTGATGTTTTTGTTTTTTCTTCCATTCTTTTCTGTATTGTGAAATTATGTTTTTATTTGTGAGAAACGCGTGCAAAGTTTAACCGCTAGAGTGGAAGAACTTCCTTTTTGTCAAAGTCGACGTTATGTGGTACAAATAACACAATCACAACGACAAACTTATGGGCAGTTCAAAAGTTTATTGTTTTGCCTACAGAAATCATGTTCGGATTGCATAATAAACCATTGCCATGTTCACACATTTCAAGAGATAACTCCCAAAGCTATTGAAATAGCCCTTTTCCCTTCTTTTTCAGTAAGTCTTTGCACTCTTGTTAAATATACATTTAGTATCTTGAGACTTAGACCCACATGCCCGAATTCCCAAAAGAGGTTTGTCGACAGTTGACTAAATTACAAAGGAATTTCTTGTCCTGATTTTTATGAAAAGGTAAAGAATGTGCTTTTCTGATTCTTTTTCTACCTACATGATTGTATTGCTCGAACTGAATTAGCCAATTAACAATTTTGAGACATAAATATCCGATATTTGTAACGCTTACAACTCTATTTGTTCCGCTAGTCGCTAGAATGCCAATCACACATGGTATAAGAATAACTTGTGTAAGAATATTTTGCGCTGCCGAGCCAAAAGACATTAACCTGATCAATAATACTTTGACATCGAATTAGCTATATGAGTTATAAATAACAAATTATCTCCTTACACCTTTTACTCTCGTACAGTTTTTGTGATACATTCTCCCGTCCTGTAATGTCATGTCTACACAGTTGTGCTTGGAGACACTATGCAATGTGATAAGTCAAGTATAACGAGTTTTTCTTCGCAGTTTGTATGTGATTTATACAGACACAGCAAGCAAGCAAGCGAGATGGTGGGGAAAGGGGGCAGGGGGGTGGGGGGCTATGAAATGAGGGTGGAGCAAAAGGATTATGATATTTGGAAAGAGAGAGTAAGCCTATATTATGAGAGAGATTTTGATGTAATGATGATGATGATATAATGATAATGATGGTGAAGATAATGATGGTAATGATCATGATAATGGTGATGGTGACAATGCTAGTAGGCTAATGACATTTCAATAGGGCACGCATATTGTGCCTTAGATTGATTTTCCGAAAGTAATTGGAATGCGATGGGTTGTTTTTTTTACTCTTGACTTTTTGTTAAAATACGTTTGTGGTAACTATTCTATAAATTCTCAATTAATAATGTTGATTGCGGGTATTCTGAAACTTGATTAATGCACCAATTAAACAAATATTTGCGTTCCGTTCAGCTCTCTTGGATCCGAGTGGTATTTATTTTACTGACGGATAGCAACAGATAAAGGTGTGGGAATGTTATCTTAGCATTAATTCACTTTTGTATTATTCAATCTCCGTCGGGAAGGGAATGTGTTTACTTTGAAGTGACAGTAGCCATGCTTTTCTTCATTTGGGAAAGTAGACCTAATCCCTATAGGAGGTACTCCAAATAACTAACAGAGATCCCCCCCCCCCCCCCCCAACGGAGGGAAACAACCTGTCATTGATCGGAGAAGGAGGGGATCGGGGACACCCACTTGTACCACGACGTATACAACTATTTAATTTAATTACAACATCTACAATTCCAATTTACAACATAATGAAGAATTATAACTAGGAAAATTGCACATAAAACCTGTCAGTCAGATTTGAAGAAAATGATCATTAAGATTGTGACCAATGACCACACAGCATGCCGACCGTTTTCCACTCAGCTATTCAACTCATTTACCCAACCGCATATTCCCATGCCATGAAATTTTAGGGGATTCCCCGTGAGGTAATCCAACGCGCGCCCGCCGCGCCCGCATGATTTAGGGCGTGGCATTTAGTTTACTGCCTTATACTGTTACTACACGGGTGTACATTTCAATTCCAATGTCGCAGTCATTGCGTCGTATTTTCAGCTGATTTCTCAGTCACTATTGACGTAGAATCTTGATTTCCATCATCTGCCCAAGCTGTAGATACAAACAACTTTATTTATGAAATAGGAAACCATCATTCGCACCGATCCGATCCGCACAGCTCATCGTAGTTTCACTGCGTCACATGTATTTGCTTCCTTCTTCCCACCAGTACCACCCATTAGACTCCACACACATTGTGCAGTGCATGGGGACGAACGAGTGGCTTCCAAAACCTCGATATAGCCATAGAAAATTACCATCTTGTAAGTATGGGATGTTGTTGTTGTGTTGTTGTTGTGTTGTTGTGTTGTTGTTGTTGTTTAAGATTATAGGCCTAGGCGTTTATATCAGGAATATATAGGCTTTAATATCTTGTTAAAAACTGACCTTTTACACACGCATAGCTGCACTGCATTTCTGACTATTGATAGGGAAGCCAACAATGCTCAAAATACATGGGGGCGGTGCAGGCGCGTAGCCGGGGGGGGGGGGGGGGGGCAGGCGCCCCCTCCAAACGCCCGCCAAAAAAAAGGAAAGGAAGAGGACGTAGGAAGAAAAAGGATTAAGAGTCGAGAACCGTACAACGAATCGTCTTCTTTCTCTAATAATTTATGAAACATCAAAGCTTCCGCGTTTTGCACGGGAGTGGGGGAAACTGAATTCAGACAAGGGTTAAGAATGGTACAATGAATTGTCTTTTTTCTTTAATAATCTAATAAAACGTCAGAGCTTCCGCGCTACACGTGGAGGAAGGGGAACTTGTTTCGAACAAGGATTAAGAGTCGAGGACGGTACAACGAATCATCTTCTTTAATGAAACGTCAAAAGAAACTGAATTTAGATAAGGATTAAGAGTCGAGAACGGTCCAACGAATGGTCTTTCTCTAATAATTCAATAAGACGTCAAAGCTTTCGCGCTTCGCAAGGGAGGGGGGAAACTCCCCCCTCCCTGCACCCATCCCCCTAGGGATTCACACGCTTTGTGTGCTCATCGTAGTTTCACTGCGTCACATGTATTTGCTTCCTTCTTCCCACCAGTACCACCCATTAGACTCCACACACATTGTGCAGTGCATGGGGACGAACGAGTGGCTTCCAAAACCTCGATATAGCCATAGAAAATTACCATCTTGTAAGTATGGGATGTTGTTGTTGTGTTGTTGTTGTGTTGTTGTGTTGTTGTTGTTGTTTAAGATTATAGGCCTAGGCGTTTATATCAGGAATATATAGGCTTTAATATCTTGTTAAAAACTGACCTTTTACACACGCATAGCTGCACTGCATTTCTGACTATTGATAGGGAAGCCAACAATGCTCAAAATACATGGGGGCGGTGCAGGCGCGTAGCCGGGGGGGGGGGGGGGGGGGGGGGGGGCAGGCGCCCCCTCCAAACGCCCGCCAAAAAAAAAGGAAAGGAAGAGGACGTAGGAAGAAAAAGGATTAAGAGTCGAGAACCGTACAACGAATCGTCTTCTTTCTCTAATAATTTATGAAACATCAAAGCTTCCGCGTTTTGCACGGGAGTGGGGGAAACTGAATTCAGACAAGGGTTAAGAATGGTACAATGAATTGTCTTTTTTCTTTAATAATCTAATAAAACGTCAGAGCTTCCGCGCTACACGTGGAGGAAGGGGAACTTGTTTCGAACAAGGATTAAGAGTCGAGGACGGTACAACGAATCATCTTCTTTAATGAAACGTCAAAAGAAACTGAATTTAGATAAGGATTAAGAGTCGAGAACGGTCCAACGAATGGTCTTTCTCTAATAATTCAATAAGACGTCAAAGCTTTCGCGCTTCGCAAGGGAGGGGGGAAACTCCCCCCTCCCTGCACCCATCCCCCTAGGGATTCACACGCTTTGTGTGCTCACTACTGCCCCCCCCCTAAAATGAAATCCTGGCTACGCGCTTGGGGCGGTGGGCGATTCGCCTCCGTGAGCTACATAATCGCCTCCTTCAGGTTGCTGCAAAATTAAAAATCACTCCCATGGAATTATAAAATTAAAATTACTGTATCTTTTCTGTTATAACTTATATTGAGTTTCAATTTTTAAACCTTAAACCAATGGGCGCATTTTCAGAAACCTATCAAAAATTTGACCTGTAGCCTAACTCCTGCGTGGAGATACCGACTAAAACATACCCAAAATGAAGTAAATATTCATTAAATGTTCAAATAAAGATCATGAGTTAAAAGTTGTTATGTTTATTACCTGTTTTGTGTCAATTTTCTTGTTATTTTTGGAGTAGTTTTGGATAAATATTGATAATAGTATACACTTTTTCACAGGTTTCACGGCAAACCGCTGCACAATACAAGTATGTACCAATGGTGGGTTGTGGGCGCGCGCCTGTGTGAAGTTATCTACCGTAATCTGAGATGCACGGCCCTACGCATTATCAGTATCTGTGATATGGTGTTATATTGAAGCTCTAAAATTTTTAATTGTGCTTTAAAATGATCAAGAAGTGCCTCAAAAAAGTAAAAACCTTTGAGTGATCGGTTTGACCATACCAGTACTCGTTTTCCCCCAATAGACTATAGTGTTATGAAAACCGTTTGACAAATGCAAAATCTAATTTTGATTTTCAATCATAAATATCTTGATAATCAGACAGGCGATCGGCTTGTAAAAGTCATGGGGTTCCTGACTGACCTAAAGGTTTATAATTATCAATGCAGCATGAGCTAAAGGATCCACGTAGGTGTTGTATAAAATCTAATAACTCACTGATGTTAAAAAGAATAATTAC